TGATTTATTAAATCGTTTATACGATTTAATAAATCGTTTGTACGATTTAATAAATCGTTTGTACGATTTAATAAATCGTTTGTACAATTTAGTAAATCGTTTGTACGATTTAATAGATCGTTTGTACAATTTAGTAAATCGTTTGTACAATTTAATAAATCGTTTGTACAATTTGTTTGTTAAATCGTTTGTACAATTTATTAAATCGTTTGTACAATTTATTAAATCGTTTGTACGATTTAATAAATCGTTTGTACGATTTAATAAATCGTTTGTACGATTTAATAAATCGTTTGTACAATTTATTAAATCGTTTGTACAATTTATTAAATCGTTTGTACAATTTATTAAATCGTTTATACGATTTAATAAATCGTTTTACGATTTAAAATCGTTTGTACAATTTAGTAAATCGTTTTACAATTTAATAAATCGTTTGTACAATTTGTTTGTTAAACGTTTGATTTAATAAATCGTTTGTACGATTTAATAAATCGTTTGTACGATTTAATAAATCGTTTGTACGATTTAGTCAAATCGTTTGTACAATTTAGTAAATCGTTTGTACAATTTAATAAAGATTTAATAAATCGTTTGTACGATTTAATAAATCGTTTGTACAATTTAGTAAATCGTTTGTACAATTTAATAAATCGTTTGTACAATTTGTTTGTTAAATCGTTTGTACAATTTATTAAATCGTTTGTACAATTTATTAAATCGTTTGTACGATTTAATAAATCGTTTGTACGATTTAATAAATCGTTTGTACGATTTAATAAATCGTTTGTACAATTTAGTAAATCGTTTGTACAATTTATTAAATCGTTTGTACAATTTATTAAATCGTTTATACGATTTAATAAATCGTTTGTACGATTTAATAAATCGTTTGTACGATTTAATAAATCGTTTGTACAATTTAGTAAATCGTTTGTACGATTTAATAGATCGTTTGTACGATTTAGTAAATCGTTTGTACGATTTAATAAATCGTTTGTACAATTTAGTAAATCGTTTGTACGATTTAATAGATCGTTTGTACAATTTAGTAAATCGTTTGTACAATTTAATAAATCGTTTGTACAATTTGTTTGTTAAATCGTTTGTACAATTTATTAAATCGTTTGTACAATTTATTAAATCGTTTGTACGATTTAATAAATCGTTTGTATGATTTAATAAATCGTTTGTACGATTTAATAAATCGTTTGTACAATTTAGTAAATCGTTTGTACAATTTATTAAATCGTTTGTACAATTTATTAAATCGTTTATACGATTTAATAAATCGTTTGTACGATTTAATAAATCGTTTGTACGATTTAATAAATCGTTTGTACAATTTAGTAAATCGTTTGTACAATTTAATAAATCGTACAAACGATTTATTAAATCGTACAAACGATTTATTTAATTGTACAAACGATTTATTAAATCGTACAAACGATTTAAAAAAAAATTCTACATTATTAAAATGGCACTAATACGCCGTCGTAAAAAAGTTGACAAGCCAAAAAAAAAAAAAGGAAATAGCCCAAACTCGAAAGTCCTATTTCGTGGTGGTTGTGGGGGGGGGGGTAACTTTTTTTTAAGGCCAACTACCTTTCACTTACATTTTTTTCCACCCAATACTACATATCCTTGATATCATTATACTTACTATGGTAATAAGTGGGGGGGGGGGGGGGCAACCATCCTTTCAATATACATTTTCAATAGTAAAGGTAATGTTGGGAAAAAAAGTGGGGGGGGGGGGGGGCTATGCCCCCCTCCCCTGCTCCCCCCCCCCCCCTGTTGCTACGTCCCTGTAATGTTTCACATGCATAGATCTCGGGGGGCATTTAAAATTTGTACAGTCATACGTTAAATAAACTAAACGAACTACCGGTATAACTGATCTTGGACCCTCCACTTAGAAAACGCCGATCAAACATTTATATCTCTATTTGTACCAATAAGATATGCTTTACATGCATGGATCTAGAGAGAGGGGTCCGGAACACCTCTCTGAAATTTGTACAGTTATTTAATGCGCAAACTAAACCAACTAAAAGTTATTTAATGTATAAAATAAATCAACTAAAAGGGACCTTAGAACCCCCCCCCCCCTTCCCCAACCGAAAATGTGGATTCGTGTTAAGTTGGTATGATAAATGTCATACACATTAAGGTATGACGCATAAGAACCCCCTCTCCCCGGCCGAAATAAATTTTCACATTTAGGAAAGGACTTTACGCATTTTTTTCTTGTCAAGAAATTTCTGGGTTGGATTTTTTTTTTACCAGAGTGACCCTTTTGGAAAAAATGTCCTATAGATCCGCGCCTTTTTTTTTTTGATTTACATAAATATCAATATAAAAATAAAATTTATTCAAATATGTGTGGCAGTTGGCAGTAAGCAGCTAACAGTTGGCAGTAAGCAGTTAGCAGTTGGCAGTAAGCAGTTGGCTGTCGTATATGGCATTCCATACATAACCCCAATTTTGTTTGAGTTTCACATATGTGGATAATTTGCCATCGGTATAACTTTGATGACTTGTATATATGTGTGGGGGAGGGCGTGTGTTGGGATGAAGGGGGTGGGTGGGGGGGTTACGGCTAAAAGACTACATGATTCTTGGAAAAAAAAGTTCAACTTACAGTATTTCCTGTCTTGTCACTGATCATCTAAAAACTTACCTTGTTAAAAACCACTCTGCTTATACAGACACAAGTTCTTTGAATTTGATATTTTAAATATATAAATGCTCTATAGTGTCTCTATCGATCTTTCATTAGTAGTATTTGAGGTTCAGATTAAAATAAGAAGGAGAGTTTTCCGTGTAAAGCAGACTATTGACAAACAATTTAATGATGCAGGGGTATACCTTATTACCTATCATCTCAGCATTAACATTTCACAAATCCTTAGGTTGATATGAACAATAATTTTGTTTGCAAATACACGTACAATGTGTCGTTACTTTGGATATTATAAGGTCATTATTTTTATTCTAAATAGACTGCATTTCTCCGTTGACTAGATCATGACAACGAGCACACATGTCAGGATGTGACCGATCGACTGTGATGAGTATTCCTCCATTGCACCTCATGCCACCTCTGATTTTTCAGATATCCGTATTTTATCTGCTCAAAATTTGTAGTGTTTCAAAGATCTTTTGTGCATGGTAACAACATATTTTATCTCTGTCACGGTTGTCACAATTTGATGTTTGTTTATGACTGGTACGCTTTGCCAATCAAAGCACTTTTGTTGCCTTTGTGTTTATACATGGTTTATACATTTTGTCAGAGAGCCGGTAAGATTAGGCACGTAGCATCGGAGGGAGGGGATCTCCCCCATCCAGGCATAACTTTTTATCATAGAAATTGTTCATTGAACGTCCATCCCCCCCCCCAACTTTTGTAGCTGCAGATCTGTAGCTCGCTGGTCTGAGTAGAGATATAAACAGCAGTTTTGCGAAATGTTTTGTTGAGTCACTTGAGGAAGTACTACAAATATATGCTTGGAACACCCGGTTAGTCAAATTTTGAGATGACAGCATAAATAAATGGAGAAATACATCGAGAAACAGCGCACTTTTCTCACATGTACTTGTGGACAGGACCCCCCCCCCCCCCTCGATATTCAACCCCGGGGCTTATTGGACATTTTTTTCACAAATTATATTTTTTCATATTGTACACATGATGAATAAATGTTATAAATAAATTGTGAAAAAAATTTCCAGTAAGCGCCGGGGTTGAATATCGAGGGGGGAGGGGGGGGGGTCCTGTCCACAAGTATCTGTGCACTGCAGCTCTCTCTTGTCGTCCATCCTAAATTTTTTTCCAGACCAGCGAGCTACATATCTGCAACTAAATTTTTGTTGTGCACAGTATAGATAAATACGGGTAATGTAATAAGTTTCAGTAAAAAAAACAAGTACTGAAAGAAGCTGAAACCTACCCACCAAAAGTATTGCGTACAAACGCAAAAGATTGTGTTTAATGCAATGATTTTTGCGATTAAACGCAACAAAATATATTTTTTTCTCTCTCTGATATACATGTACTCTCAACGGACGTCCGTACATAGTCATTCGAAAAAAAAAAATTAATTTCAGTACTTGAATTTTGAGAACCTATTCATTCACTTATTCACTTGTTAATATTAAGTTTCTGGAATGTTGCGATACCTGTTGATATATCATTTGTGTTAGAGTGCACAATAATCTTTTTACTATACGTATAGATCTTTTATTATTTTTCTTTATTTGCTGCAGCTGCATGATTTGAGCGAAAATTAATCAGAGGTTCCATGTGCGGATCTAGAAGGGGGTGGGGGGTGGGCGTCCGGACCCCCTGGAATTTGCAGAGTTACTAAATTGATAATACTAAACCAAGTAAAAAGTGATTTTGGACTCCCCCTAGAAAACGCAGACCCCCCTCAAAGGCTTGGGGTTGGATTTTTTTTCATTCACTGGAGTGGAACCCCCCCCCCCCCTTGGAAAAAAATTCCCGGATCCGCGCTTGAGAGGCTCGTTTCTTATACAGAAATTTAATCACCATTCAATAAAATAATGTTAATTTTTGGCAGGCCTTAATTTTTTTGTGAGAGAGAGGGGGAGGGGTGGAAGATTCTTCCAGTGCTCCCAGTAAATCTACTATATCTCATGTTTACCCGGTCAAAAATTAGTAAGTTTATGCCTGCAAATAATAATACTTTACCTTAGGACTAATTAAATATGGGACCAAAAAATTAAATTGAGTTAATCTGAAATATTTTCGAAAAAATTATTATTTATTAGTTATTGCCAAAGAATTTTTTACATGTATATCAACTTAATATCCATCCGGAAAATACGGACAATGCTGTTTAGTCTCTTCCGTGAAATTGAAAAGCGTTTTGATGATTCGGGTACCTGTTCGGACGTGCTCTGGCTTTTTTAACCAAAATAGAAAGGTAAGTCATGAGACTCTTGATTGACCTTTTGCATATTGACAACCGGAAACGAACCCAAAATGGAATGTTTCTGCTAAGGCAAGTTGAAAGGATACATGTTTCTCATTCTAGGCCCAAGCAGATACATTAATACCATTAGATAAGTAAGTACATCAATTTTCAACTACCAATAACATACGTCTTTTAGTTATATATGGAAGATATTGGTACTGTTGAGTTCTGTGTCCGTTACTATGGGTGATTGGGATGCTTTATTGGCGTCGGGGCATATTTGTGTATTTTATGATAATCATAACATTTATTATGTACAGTGAAGACGAATTTATTGAGTAGGTCTGGCATAATAGATATCCATGCCTTGTATTATCTTCTGTAATTTTCTCTGAAAACACGTGATGCAGATGTTTTAGACAGTATTTGACAGATTGATGCTGAGAATTTGTATTTTTGAGTGAAGTTAAATTCACACTTTGCAAAAATTTATGTACCTTTATTGGGTCAACTTTATAGGGAAGAAATTAGTTTTTCTTCTTGTGCAACAATGTTACCATACATTTGGGTGTGCTCTGAATCTACTAAGTATACAGGTGTCTCATTATATCGCGGTACTTAAATCTTTTGCATAAAATGTGTAATTCACATTTTAAAATTTAACTTTCATCAAATGATATTCATAAACCAACCTATGGCCTAACTTTTTATCATCAAATTATTTCCCAAGCTTGCATCGTTTAATTTGTAGTCTATTTTTAAAACAGGAAGTCTTATTTACCTCCTAAATCGGAGAGTCTCATTATATCGCGGTATGGGAAAACATGGATACTTGAGGTTGACATGGACTTCAATTCTTATTTTTTATTTTACCAAGTAATTCTACATAAGGAAATAAACAATTATGCGAACTTAAGACTTTCAAACACGAATTTTATTTAGATTTCACTGGATTATAAACTCGGTGGGCTAAAAATGATAATGAATTTATGTAAAATTACGTTTTATTTGAATATTTTTTTTCCGACGAATGTTCCATACTTTTTAATCATCACAAAAATTTACATTCAGATGACAGTCTGATATTTTTTTCAACAAAAAGCATATGAGCCATGTATCTGATTTTTTGGAATATACCGCGATACAATGAAACCCGCGATATAATGAGAATTCAGTATATATGTTAAAAAAATTCTTTCTTGAATGGGTAGCCCATCCTGGGTCAATTAAAGTACAAAATTCAATCTTTAATTCCCTGTCAAATGGCAAAGCTACAAACTAAAAATCTATTAAGATTTCTTTTAGGATTCTCTTGGTTTCCCCTAAAGATTTTGACCAAGGAGATTTCTTTTGGAAATTGTGGATTTACTTTGGTAGCAAAGTCAGGTGGACTACCATTGAGTTTTATAAACTTTATTTATGGTCCACAGTTGGAATGGTCTAACTGTATATAGGTTATATATAATGTATATCATATAGCCAAGCACCTTTACACATGCAGATAAATAGATTGATGCAACAAAAACCTTTTAGCATCAGTTTCATCATTACATACCTAGTGTATATATAATGTTTTGTTCTTTTATCTGTTAGCTTTTCACTGATATTCAATTTATCTTGATATGCACATGATGCAGGAAGCAATCAACATCTTTCTGTTTCAAATTCTCAACCATTTTTACATTTACAATTTCTCTTCAATGCACATAGTATAGGCTTAGATTTGAGTTACAATATTTTGCCTCATTCATTTTTCTATTATAAGGCACTTTTGGTTACCTGGGCTGACATTTATTTAAGATAAATTATATAAAGGTAAACATCATTATAGCACATACTGCAGTGAATGAAAGTGCTTGTGATATTCATTGCACATTTTAAGTTACCCCCACCCAACCCCAAAAATCTTTGAAATAAATGTAAAGAGAGAACCCAGTTTTGAAATGACAGTGTCTCAGATATCAGGAGAAACTGTGATTCTGACTGTGGAGCTTACTTTGAAATATTAAGCATATAAATATTACAGACATTAAAGTTGCAATATTCAGTCCAGTCCAATACGAAAATTCGTAATATTACAAAAAAATGTAAGATTATGAAAAAGCGTAATATTACAAGTTATCGTAATATAAAACTTATATTACAATTTTTCGTAATGTAGTTAAATTACGAATACGCATAATTTAGAAGATTGTAAGATACTATATTACGAGTTTTCATAATCCAAGACAAATTCAAGCATTGCAAGAAATTGAGTGGTGGGTAGCAAAGTATGACGTCAGTAATTTATCAGATTCCACATCTACTGATAGCACGCGGTCATTTTGGTCAGTTACGCCTATCAGAAAGCAGGGAAATTCAAGAGGAAAGTACCGCCAGCGATGGGTGAGTCGACAGTTTCTTTTATTATTCTTTTATAGGAATTTTCCCAAGGATAAGACCAATTTTCCAGTAAATTTCAATATTCGCTTAAGCATGTCGCATTGGTCTATATCACCCGAACTCCCTACTTTTCTTCCGAAGTCTACCCTAAAAATCAGACCCTCGTCTCATAATACAACTGTTCGTGCAATTCTTATTGAAATACACAGAATTCAAATCTCAGTAAGAGTCGTACAAGTTATCGCCCGTGACATCTCGTAGTAAACGTCATACTTTGCTATCCGCCACTCAATTTCTTGCAATGCTTGAATTTGTCTTGGATTACGAAAACTCGTAATATAGTCTCTACAATCTGCTACATTACGCGTATTCGTAATTTAACTACATTACGAAAAATTGTAATATAAGTTTTATATTACGATAACTTGTAATATTACGCTTTTTCGTAATCTTACTTTTTTTCGTAATATTACGAATTTTCGTATTGGACTGGACTGATATTATTGTGTGCAGATTTTTCATGCTTTAATGTCTTTTATTATCCCTTTTTTGTCTTTATTGTAAATTTAAACATTAAAGATCACACTAAATTCAAACATAAAAATGATGAAACTATATGAATTAAGTTTAAAATTTCCACCAAAACATATATATCCTTGTTATATGTAACCATCACCAAAAAAAACTGGATTAAAATCTCCGTGTATTGATGGAATCTGCAGATTTGTATAGAATCTACCCAGATGCCTCCACCCAATATGGAGTAAAATTAATGCCTGATTAGAAAAAGCATTGCTATCTTAATGAACCCCCCTGTGGACTAGCAGTACATGTATCAACTAATACATCACAGTGTTTGATAGACTCTTGGTGTAGTACAGTTTCTAGTGAGTATTGATTGTTGCAGCCCCCTGATTCCAGCGTCTGGCTCTATAGATAACTTGGCTTCCATGATGTAAGGCATTATAATTATGCAGGTAAAATCTAGTATTTATGTTGTTATAATTCTACAGTGACAGAGACATTCATCAAGATTTTGTTATATGCTCATTGCTACATTTTGGAAGAATATTTTCTTACTGCTAAGGAGGGAGGAGAAGCTTTTTCTAGATTATGAAAGCATCTGCTGTAATTGTAATCTATATAAGGGCTAAATTTTTTCCATGTGTTGTGTGAGTAGCATTGATAAATTATTCACTGTTCATTTCATTATGAATGAGGATTTACAAGACAAATTCACCTGAAGCTACATTTCTGTTCCTGCTGATGCTCATTAGCAACAGATTTCAAAATATGGTTAATTATGTCTATTTTTTTCCCTTCATTTTTGTGTAAAATAATAGTTATGAATTGTCCGAATTAAAGTTGGCAAAGGCCTGTCAAAAGTTATAATTCATATTTGCCAATACATGTTTAATCAGTTAATATCCAACAGCTTATCTGATGGCTAATTTATTAGCAATTAAAACTTTGATTAATGAAAGAGCACTTGCTAATACAGTTAATCTTGTATTAGATTAATTATCACTTACATGTAACCTAATTAGCAATTCAAATTTTGAAGTGACTGAACATATTAAGATTGGAAGTTAACATAGTTAAGATCAATGAGCCATATTCACTGTTGCATTTTATGTTATATTTTTAAAAAAAGATTTTTTAAATTTTTTTGGGGGGGAGGGGTGTCAGGAACATATAAAATATTTTTAGAATGCATACATGTATGTTTCATGATGAGAGAAGTTTATTGTATCAATTTATTGTCAGAAATAAAAAAAAAATGCACTGAAATAATCACTTGATAATTAACTTTATAGTGCAAATATAGTTATACAAATTTTCCTCTTTATCGTTATTATATATTTATATGGGATGCTTAGTGAAGCTAATATCAGCTCTCTTCTTCATTTATAAGAGCTCCTGTCAAAGCTTTATCAAACTCCATGAGGTAATCTAAAAATCTCATCCCACACATAAAAGTCAGCAACTTCTTCTGAAACATGCCCTCTATTATCAGCCTGACTGACCAAACATTGGACATAGTTCATCTCCCTACTTAGCAAATAAAGCTGATGTTGATAGACAGCTACAGCAAACCATATTAAACTTACAATAAGCAATAAGACCTGTTCCACAGTGCTGTATTATAATCACAGCATATTCCTTACTAGGCTGCTTGTTTAGAACAAACGGTAAATGCAAATGCTTTAGGAGGGATGGTTTTATGAATGAACTGATGCCATATGTTTGTTAAAATTCTTGTTTTCTCTCAGTTTATAAATAAATTTCCTTCTTTTGTTGAAAAGGAATTTTGAAATCAACATTGAAGTAAAAAATAAATGTTGCTTAGTCCAGATGCATAAAGATATGAATAGAAATTGATAAATAAACCATAATTTTGTACAATAGCAATGAAAATGGCAACTTTAATAAAAGTTCACTGCTCTACTGTCTGGCAAATTATTGTTTTCATCTGTCCATGGTCTCATAACATTTTCAACAACATTTTTCATCGATTTTCTATTAGAATATAAGAACAGCACCAATTTACTTCTTGATATGTGAATTCATACTTGAAAAAAATGTAAATGACATACACATAGCCAGCACATAAAGATTATTTATAATCAAACACTGTATCTGCACAGTACATCACTTTTTGGAAAAAGATATAAGATCACTTAGTGTAAACAGTAATTTAGCATATTTTTAAATATAGGACACAACTTAGGGTAAACCTTTCAGACATCATGCTGCAAAAAATGCACGTGTCCCTTCATACATTTAAGAGGTCTTAAGATACTGATAATGTATTCTAAGTCGAAAAGATCATGGAAGAATGAAGACGTGATTTGTGAGAAGTACTGGTAGAAAATTGTAATTGGTAAAAAGAACATAAAACTAGATATGAAACTCGTTGCGAGCAACGAGAGGTCTTCCGTCCGATTTCGAAAAGAAAACGTAAAATCGAGCTGAAAAAGTAAAAAAATAAAGCTTTGCACACAATGGGGATTGAAGTCGCCAGCATGAAATTCTAACGCACTGAATATTACGCTATCGGGACCTCTCCTCTAAATCTACTTGTATATATTAGCGAAACAGCGTTTCTCTCTTAAAATTATGAAAGTCGGGTCACTATTCAAAATTTAGCGCCAAACGCCACTAGCTAATCTTCGCGCCTTTTCTTTGGAATGTTCCATTAAATAGGTTTGATAGCTTCAATGAAATTTAAAAAGAAATGTTCTTAAAGCCTAAGATTCGAGGTTTAAAAAGTCTATTAAAGACATTTTACAAATTCCATATTGTATATATGCATGTAACACTAAAGCGGTGAAACAGTTATAAATTTTTTTTAATTTCCTGTTTATCCCCAAAGTGAACTATCCTGATTAGCTAATCGAAAAAGGTTGAAACGTTTCGCCGAAAAACATGGCTCGCCCTACGACGGTCAAGGAATCAGATATCATTTATGCTCAATAACTTGAATAAGGTCTTTGAGACAAGACTGCTCAAATAAACTCCATGAAGCGTTCTTTAAAAAATCGTCTTCTTATTTTTGTATTATTTATTAGTTTAATATGACACAAGTGTGCATAGGAAAAACAGTGGTTGAGATATATACTGACAATATTAATTGATATTCTTTTTTGAGAAAGTATTACTTATAAGTATGATTTAAGATCTGTTTTTCGGTGATGCACAAAAGATATTAGGTATCGAATTTCATCTGCACATTTAGTCTTTTCTTTTACTACTTTGAAAACCAGCCAAAACCAATCATAGAAGACGTTAGTTTGACACAGAACTGCAACGAAACTACGACGTGACAATCCAAATAGCCCTTTACATTTCATTTATCCTTATGTTACTTTCGTTCAAGCAAACGCTCAGCTGCCTCCGTAAACCCCTATTGCGAAATGTCGGCGTTGACAGAGACAGCCGCCATTTTGGACCCGCTTCAGATTTTTGAATGCTAATATCTAGAGTTTATATTTATCAACATTCAAACAAATTATATAGTAAGCATGATAAGAAGGGTTTCTATTAGCATACCAAAAATAAATGAAAATTACTGAAAAACAAAAAAGTTAGAAAATACGATTTTTTTAAATTTGCATCTCGTAACAACCGGAAATACTGACGACGCATGAGAAGGTGATTCTGCAAACCACAAAGTGACAAACTATCGTCTCCAATATGTTTCTAGGTCATATCTTTAGCCATTTTTGAGAAAAAGGGGCGACAAAATCGCATTTTAAAATCAGGAAATCGTCCATAACTTGGCACCAGAAGCGAATTTCCCAAATTTCTCTTCGGATGTAACAACTTCATATAATGACACATATTTTGTGAAAGTTTCATGAGAAACCGCTGAATAGTTTTCGAGAAATCGCCTGCACAAAATTTTGTCAAAAAAAAGAATAATAATAATAAGAATAATAAGAAACAGTAGAATCACTATAAGGTCTTCCGTGAAGACGGAAGACCTTAATTAAATAGAAGCTATTGCTCTCAGAAGTACCAAGTAAAATATACAGTGAAACATGCTTATAATGAAGTATGTGCCAGTGATCACTGATGGACGTCTTTTGCTTCATTATAAGCGTACATGTAATTGGTTATATCCATTAAGTTTATAATATACTTTAAAGTAACAGGGAATAAAAATCAATTTAATGTTGTAAGGGTCAATTCCTTGTAAGTGTGTTCACTATAACAGTGTTCTACTGTTCTTTTGTTATAGACTGTTTTACTGTTTTTAGATTTTTCTCTTACTGGTTACAAGAAGGGAGAATTAAATGATATGGATGAGACTTAAAAATTCAAGCCTGCGCCCTTTTAATATTAGAAAGCACTCTACCAGCTGAGCTAAGTGGCCACTGTTAAATTTAAACCTGCCTTTAATAGGAGGAATTTTTTTTAAGGAACCAGATCAGAATTTGACCATGGGCCTCTGAAGCTTGGACAGGTGCTCTAACAGCTGAGAAATCTGGCTATATCTGTGACCTGGCTGCCACATTTCCATCTTTATACTGTTACAATTGGTGCTTTTGAGCAGCTCTTGACTAGCAGGTGAAAGACCTACTAAGGAAAAGAACCTGGGCTGTCTCTGGGTGTTTTCAGGGGAGTTGACATTAAGAGGGGAATGTGGTGGTCAAGAAGGTTTGATGGCCTATTGTCAGATCCCTAGTTCAGTTGGTAATAGAGTTCAGGCCTTGGTTCTGGGTTTGAATCCTAGCTTGGCAGTTAGATTCAGTCTTGTCTTAAAATGAGGCCAAAATAAAATTGTAGTTTGTTTGGAATTGCCTCCCGCCTCATTGAAATACCCCCCTCCTGAAAAAATTTTATTGACCAAAAGTAGGAAGATTTTTTTTTTTACTTAATCAATTTTTTTGCCTATTACATGTATCACATGCATCATACAAAACACTGAAATATAGTGTCAGATCTATGTAAAATTAGGTTTTCAATTAAAAAAAAAATAATTTCCCTCCCTCCCTCCTGTGTCTGAAACCCTTCAGGCGGCAATTCCAAACAAACAATTTTTTAAGGATGGCCTGATGGAAGTATTTTATATTAAAGACAATAAAAGATTTGATCAAGAACATGATAATAGTATTTCCTTACTGAGAAATATCCAGCAACTCATATTTTTTATAGAGTTTTCCCATGGCACAGTATGAAATTACGGAAAAACAGTGTTAGTGTCAGGAGACATTAATCAATAATCCTGATAATGTAAGAAAGTTTGTAAACATTAACTTGGCAAATTTCTGAAGATATTATCATTGTGGATTGTCTTTACAAGGATAGGAAGAAAACTCATTTGTTCCACTTTATGAATTATAAATTGTAATTAATGTTTTTAAATAGTAATATACAAACAACTTGCACCAATGTCCCAAGAAAGTTGTTATCAAAAGAGAGTATCATACATGCAAGCTTAGCTACAGCAAAACTCGGTTATAACGAAGTCACAGGGACCTATGAAATTACTTCGCTATATCCGTAATTCGTTATAACTGTATAAGAAGTTCATTAAATTTATATAGCTTTGGATCCAAGATAACTTCGCTTTATCCGTAAATTCACAATATCTGTGTTCGTACTAAACGAGTTTTGCTGTAATGTGTAAAATGCTCATTTGGCAGTTTGGCATCATGCTACATGAAAAGGTTCCAAAATTATATAATGTTTGTCTGAAAATTTGATGGAAAGGTCTGTTTGGGGATGTGGGCAGTTTTAGGTGAATGACTTGGAATTAGGGTCTAGGATCAGGCACTTCAGAAGCAATCAATAACATTCACTGTACAATGGATGTCTTGAGAATTTCCGCATGCACAGTGCTGTTATGATACTGTTACGAAAACTCTGCATTTCATTATTACATGCTTGTGCATCTGTGTTTTAAAGATGTTTTTTGTAATGGCTCATGTACAGCTGAGTTTGTATGAATGATATTGATTGGAAATCGAATTCCACCATGTTGAAAAAGTTTCAATTATCATCGCATTAGAAAAATTGTAGGGAACAGTTTGATCACAGTGAGTCACTTGTTGACAAGGTGTATATGTGAGAGAAGAGACAGGAATGACTCAGTGTCTTCCATAGCGCATTAGTTATTGATTAACACACATTTTTCTTTTACACTTGCAGGTACAGGTAGCAAAATGGGTTAAACAACTACCAAGGTCATTTAAAGAAGTGGCCTGGTCGCTATGACAACATCAACAGCAGAAGATCTGCTCCAGGCCAATCAGGTAGTCAAGGAGAGATGGAAAGTGGTGAGTTTTTGTACATTTTTTTCTTTGGTCATGCAAGTTCTATTGTGAGAGATGTATCTCTCAAATGATGAAGGTTTGGGGGATAAGTGAGCCAGACTAAGCATTGTCATCTGTATCTGTTGAAAGAAGAAGCTAGATTTATTGATGTGAAAGATTCATGATTTGGATGCTGCATTTGTCAGCTATATTGTACACTTGATTCTGTTAAAAAAAAACCAAAGATGTTCACTAACATACAAGTCCACATGCACATATGTGCATTTGAATATGTTTATGTAACCCATGATTTGGTTGATGCTTCATTTGATCTAATATTATTCCATCCTTCAGCTAATCAAGATCTGAGTACAGATTCGTATGATGTATATTATGCATGATCAGTCTTGCTAAACTGATGTATCAATGGAAGTTCTTTCTAAAAAGTTTTTTTCCTCCATATAATGCAATGTTCTGATTGTGCCCATGGGTATTTAGTCCCATGAAAATAGCTTTGGTGTTAAAGTCAGAGTTAAATTGCCATGAGAAGTTGATCAAAGGATGAAGTCAATACCAGAGCTGGTTCCTAGTGTTTAGAACAGCATTGGATGTTGCTGCTAGATATGCATGAACATTTCTCTTCGTGCCAATTCTTGTATTCAGAATATTACTGTCATATATGTTTCATTTACATCTGACTTGTAGAATTCAAAGCAAATAGGATTCCTTCAAAGTAAAAGCTGTACAAAAGACATCTTTTTGTCACAGTTTTCAAATGCAATATGTTACATTCATTGTTTCATGGTTACTAGATGGTGTAAATTCTAGTTAGTCAATCTACTCACAAAACTAATTATTTTAAAAGCTGTTAATTAAAAAAAAAGGATGAATTCTAAATAAGATTATAAAATACTGTCTTTATCTCTTATTGTATGGAAATAACTGAAGGCATTATAATGGTTTTACTAAAGTGGCAATTCTATCATCATTGATCCAAATCTTGAAAATTTGGTTGCATGATGCTTGCATTAATGATCAATCCACATGCATTTGGTTACAAATGAAAGAAAATTACTGACCAAAATGTCTTGACATTTGAAATCCAATATCAATTCAAGATATTTATTGAGTATTACAGGCCACCGACCCAAAGTACAATCATATCCGATATATTACTATGACTTTCTGAAACAGGCAATACATGAAGAGAGATAAATTTTTGTTTTAATTTTTCAGGTTCGGAAAATTGGTGGCGGAGGGTTTGGGGAGATCTACGAAGGCATCGACCAAGTCACGAAGGAGTCAGTGGCCCTCAAGCTGGAGTCTGCCAAACAAGCCAAGCAGGTCCTCAAAATGGAGGTAGCTGTCCTCAAGAAACTACAAGGTAGGTCATTTATTGTATGTGAATTTTCATCTACAGAACCCACTTAATTTCTCTCCATTACACTACATTCATTTGGTGAATTTTATTTCCAAAAGGACTTTTCTTTACCAATTGAAGAGAATGTGGAAGAGTGAATATTTAATATACAAGTTTTTTTTATCTGATTAACTCCTAAACTTGACCCAATTTCTATAATTTCAATGGAATTAATCTTTTTTTTTTAGGACAAGACCACGTATGTCGATTCATTGGGTGTGGCCGTAATGAAAAGTACAATTATGTAGTCATGACCCTACAGGGTAAAAACTTGGCTGAGTTGAGGAGGAGTCAGTCCAGGGGGTGCTTCTCCCTCAGTACCACCCTCAGGCTGGGGGCCCAGATACTGAAGGCCATCGAGTCAATACATGAAGTAGGATTTCTACATAGGGATGTTAAACCTGTAAGTATAGGCTGATGTAGCTTTAAGTATGAAGAAATCATTTTAGCAAGAAAAATGAAAGGATTGACTTAGCAATATTTCTAATTTTTGTGAGAATCTAAAGCTCATATTTGTAATTTTCAGTCTAACTTTGCAATGGGAAGGCTGCCCAAAGACAGTAAGAAAGTTTTTATGTTGGACTTTGGGTTGGCTCGTCAGTACACCACCCCCACAGGTGAAGTGAGGCCCCCCAGGGCAGCTGCTGGATTCAGGGGCACTGTCAGATATGCCTCAGTTAATGCCCACAAAAACAAGGTATTGAATAACAATGACAAAACACACTTGTAGATCTCTGAACATTTCTATAAAAATTTTGCTTTAATTGTTAATTATTGGTCATGTTTTATGATAAGCAATTCAGAACATGTATCTTACTAAAGGGAAGAAAATCATGTATTTGACAATGTATTATTTAAAACAGTAGCTCAGTTTATGTATTTCTCACAGTGGATTTATTTTGATTTTCAGGAAATGGGCAGACATGATGACCTTTGGTCCCTGTTTTACATGTTGGTAGAATTTCTAGCTGGTCAGTTACCATGGAGAAAAATTAAAGACAAGGAACAGGTCGGCCAGATGAAGGAAAAATACGACCACACTCAGATGTTGAAAAACATGCCGCCAGAGTTTAAAACTTTTCTGGAGCACATCGAATCCTTGGAATATCATGACAAGCCTGATTATTCACTGATGCATAACCTGTTTGAACAGTGTATTAGACGGAAGGCAATAAAAGATACTGATCCCTATGACTGGGAGAAAATTTACACGGACTCAGTGGCTACCACCACCACCACTTCACCCCCAATAGGTCTGAAGGCCACCACTGGTTTAGGGTAAGGCTTTTGCTTGATATGGGTCATGACTGGCTCAAGGTCTTTTGTTTTAATTATAGGTTATGCTGAGAATAATGTATAATTCATGTCTCATTCCTAACTTCCTAATGCAAGAATGCTGATAATTAATGATTTACAAAAAAACTTTGAATTATGTGTGAGGTAGCTTTATGACCTTGAATCAAGATCAGTTTAACAAGTTCAAGGTAGGAAACAAAGCAAAATTTCTTTCCTATCTGTATCTTGTTTTGGAGAAACTTTTGTGGGAAAAAATGTAACAAGAAGTTAAAGCGTTATCATTCTGTAGCCATAAAATTGTAGCTCTGCAGTCTTTTAACAAACTCTGAGAGCAAGCTGCAAAGGGCAAAATGATGAAATAGATTAAGATAATGAACAGTAGTTCATGCAATCTCAAAAATCCTACAAACAATAGAAATATGTGAACAGGGCAAAAAAGCACAGACGCCATGGAAATTCCGTGGGATCCAATGCCTAGGACGAGTAAGCATCCCCTTTTGACTGGACACTCTGTGCTCTTTGTATTGATCAGCAAGGCATCTTACTAAAATGCCTTGAAAAGCAGATATGTAGGCCTTATCAAATTCTAGAAGTCCCTTAGGACCTGATACAATATTTTCTAGAATCTGTATTAAATATGATGGAATAATAATGGTACAAATATTATACCGAGTAATAATAATGGTACAAATATTATACCGAGTACCTAGGTAATTTTGAATCAATCTTCATCTAAGTTTTAAAAGTAAATCATTATTTTCTTAGGACTGTCTTTTTACAGAGATTACTTTATGTATAGTGTATTTCTGTGTATAAAGTGTGTTTGAACTTGCCTGTTTAAAGTACAGTGCTGTAATTGTGAAAGGGAGGGGAATTTGATACATGTGTTTGAAGATTGGATCTCTGATTCATGATGATAGATCAATTTGTATTTAAATAAATTGAATTAATCATTTCATCAGAGGATAGATCTAAGTAATCTCTTGAGTTATCAATGATAGGCCTCAATATCTAGATTGAACCTTTTTACAGCTGTATCATCTCTTGGATTTTTTTATGGCTATTTTTTAAAGCACTTTCTATACTATTGAATAATAAAATGAACAGAAACAGTGGATTATATTGTTGATGTAATTTTAAATAATTGATGAATAGTATTTCACTGGAGCACTGTATAAATGACCTTTATTTCGCTTGCTGTCCCATATATTGATCTGCTAGGTTGAAGATTATATTTGAAATTCTCCATTATAATTTACTGTGAAGTATTAAATTAATCATGCACATAATGGGTTGACATAAGATATTTTAGCTAATAGGTTGTCAGATTAATTGAATGAACTGCTTTGTTCTTTTGAAGAATAAATTTTCTTTGTTTTATTTTGGAAACTCATTTCCCCATTTTTATTTCATAGATTACATGGAGCCACGGAAGTCATCGATGAAATTCTTAGTGATGAAGAAAATAAAGATGAAAAGAGGTTAAAGGATGCAGATCTCATTATGGACAACAAGCATGTGAAAGACATTGACAACCGTTACCGGGAGGAGCAAGGTGACATTGTTCTCATCAAAAGTGATGATCCAAATCTCCGAGTGGATGAAAAGCACCAAGTGGAGCAAATGGTCAAAGAGGAAACGGTGGAAAATGTGGCTGTGGAAGCAGAAAATGAACAACACGAACCAGTTGTAAATGAACCGAATAATGAAGAGGTCAAGGACAATGGCAGTAAACCTGCTGTGTCTACTCCAACCAAATCTGCTCTCAAAACTGTTGATTCTAGTGTTCTTAGACTTCGAAACTCACAAAACTTGCCAGAAAGTGCATTTAAACCTATTAAGGAATCAGTGTCATTTGGTGATGTGAAAGCAATAGATTCAAAGCAAAAGGATGGTGGCTCAAATTTCAAGGCAGAGAGGAGAGTTTCTATTCAGAACTTTGCGGAGGTTCACGAGGACAATGAAGTTCGAGATAAGTGCAATAATGAACCTGATCCACTTGTGAGTCGTGCACCGTTAACATTTGCTATGATGCAGACAGATGAAAAATCACCTGATGATCATCTTGATGAAAATGCAACAAGGGCTGCACCTTACACAGTAGCGAGTCAGTGGAATGCTTCTCAATTCCAATCTTCTTCTGAAAGTCAGGGAGCAGATGAGAGTGAGGGGGAAGTAGGGGGTGCTAAAAATAAATCTCAACTGAAAAAATCTAAAAGATTTCAACATAATACATTAATGGATGAAGAGGATATGAAAATGGATAGTGTTTTAAGAAATTCCCTTGTTTTGGCTGATGCAGATGGTCAGGACTGTTTGAGGAATTCCATGGTGTTTCTGGGAGATGATAGTGCTGCTCTGTCTGCTAATGAATCAGACAACGATAAAAAACCTGGAGTGAAAAGTAAATCAGGTTCTTTTGCCGAAAAATCAAAACTTCAAGAAAAATCAGCTGCTACCAGTAGTCTATCGCACAAATTATCAGGCCATAGTAGAATGCCAGAGAAGTTAGCCAAAGAAATGGATAATCTTATATGCTCCCCCCTCCGCAATAGTCCCACAAAACATTTATTTAAGCCCAAAGAGAGTTTAACTGATTTGAAAAAATTAGCAACACTTAGCCACATAAAACCTGTCACTTCCAAACCCCCTGCACCTCAGCCATTGACAACTAAGAAAGACCCCGGAACATCAGTTGACAGTCCTGGTCTGGTAAAACCAGCTCTTAAGCCTAAGCCTAAACAGCTGCCAAATTTGAAGGTGCTTGTTGGATCTTCTGTGGATAAGATCAATGAGGAAGGAAGTTCAGTGGATGGGAATCGAAAAACTTCATCTGTGTCTAATGATGTGCAAGTGAATAACAAAAACAAGCCGGAAGAATTAGAGAGTAATTCTTCTTTCCTTTCTCAAAACAACTTTGCATCAATGAATCTTGTTTTAAACAAACAGTCACTGAAGCCTTTAGAGGAAAAGCCTGGGATAGCCAACTTTACTCAAGAATCTTCAAATGTAGGACCTTCAATAGAAAGCTTAGGTAGTAAATTAAGTAGTTTAGAAAAGAAACCCGAAGATATTAAAACTTCTGAAAGTGTTACTGTGACTAAAAGAGAACTGCCTTTGCCAACGTCTCAAATTCCTGTGCGAATTGATAAACCTTTAAAACTCTCAGTGACAGAATCTAAAAAGATTGAAAAACAGGTACCAGAGCCTAGTCAAAAAGAGGAAAATAATGTTAAAGAAACTCTTAAAGTAAAACATGGCCTCAAAAAATTTACTGAGAAAGAAATACAGAAGGCTGAACTGGAACACTTACAGGCTAGAAAGAAAATGTCTCCCATTGTGGAAGAGAGAAATGGTGAAAATGCTTCAAAATCCACAAAGAGTGGAGAGCAGGTGCCTTCTAGCACAAAGTCAACAAGCAGTGAACCTTCTGTTGGCAAGGAAGAGGTAATGGTGGGTTCTGAAGAGAAACACAAGGTGGAAAGGAGGCATTCTTTTAATACTGACAGTAGACCTTCTTCTAGTCCATTAGAGAAAAAATCTATTCCAACTTCAAGTCAAACTGATGTGCAAACAGGGGCAAAAGGCTCTACTCATGCAGAGAAAAGTCCCTCTATTGGGGAAAATAAAACTGCAAGTCCTAAAAGAGAATCTGGAATCAAGAAGCCTGTACGACGTCGTTCCTCCTCTGCTTCTAGGATTTCTGACCGCACTGCCAATGAACTCCGTGAGGCCCTGGCGTCTGTTACCCCCACCCCACCCGAGACGGACCCATCCAAAGTCCCCAAACCCCCACCTGGTGCTGCTCCCAAAAACATTGTCTTATTGAATGCAAGGTAAATCTTCCAACTTTCACAGAGTTTGTTTTCTTAAAGAATTTTTCATTTATAGTACATGTAGTGGTATGTAAAAGCATTATCTGACCCATATTTTTATGTGTAATGTACTCTTTCAAACTTAGCTGCACAAAATCATTGAAAAGCTTGGATTTATTAAAAAAAATCTAGGCATCCGACATGCACTGAATATGCTTGAAAATTGTCAATTTTAATACATTATTTCATTTTGCACTTTATGTGTCTTTCTAGTGGCTGGTGAGTAGATTTCTATCAGAAGTATGCTTGGTGAATATTTTTCAGAGCAATTCGTTTAGTTTAATTGTTTTCTTCTTCATTGGCTTTGGTTCTTTTGCATGTGTTTTTTATTTGCAGGCGGCGCCGTTACAAGATGGCCTCCACCAACACCAGCCCCCGAGAGCCCTCATCGCCCCGAGCCCAGTAGGGATCACTTCCATTCATCACCTGTTACTTTACACACATTTTGTTTTGTTAATCTGCTGGAAGCCGTGTTTTAAAATTTTGGTTGTGCATCTCGTATTTCTATGCTTCAGTTATACCCGTGATTCAATGGTTGTTGTATGCATGCATATCATATCTATGAATATATATATATTGTTACATATTTGTATCAATTTCATATGTTTTGAAATTTTTAACCTTAATTTCTCTTCATCTTCATTCTTTTCACTTTTCTTTGTTAGTACATGTATTGAAAAAGGCATACTGATATACCACTTGTAGTGTTCAAACTGATTTTTTTTTTCAATTTTATGAAATTAATATATGATTTTTAACAAATGACATTAGTCCTGAGAGTGGCTTAAAAGATCTTAAAATACATGAAATATTATTTGCTTTTTGATTTTACATATTCTTCTAATTCTGATTTGTTAACGATCTCTAATTTTTATACTTGTGTAAAAATGTATAACTGTTTCTTAATATGTCAGGATGTTTTTAAAAAAATGGTTATTTTTCTTCTTGGATATTTCCAGGTCTATACATACTGAAATGAGAAATATGACAGAAATTGAGAATTTGATTTTGCTGGTTGACTAATAAGATTTTTTTTTGGGGGGGGGGTGTTTTAAGAAACATTCAAATATTAATACTTTCAAAGTTAAAAGTTTTTGAAGGTACACCCAGGAAATTCTTCTTTCAACATAATTCTAGTCGAGTGTTTCCCATTCATTTTCATTGCTCATGAGTAACAAGCACGTCACACATTGAATTTAAATTATCTTCTGTAGTGTTGTTAAGGGAAAAAATCTACCTCTTACTTTTGAAAGCTATTTGTTTTGTTTTTGGCCTAACACAAAGTGCAGCACAATATTTTTTGGTGTTTTTATATGTTGTTGCATGGTGGAAAATGAATTTGTTATCTGTGTGCAGTTGGAAATTTTTCTGCTTTGTTTATCTGTTCAAGTAATGTTAAATTGGATTTCTCAGTTTAATTCTGTGGAATCAATTTATTTTGGAGCAAGCCAGTTTTTTTTTTTTTTTGCAGATATCTTAAATTTACAGATTATGGTGAAAGATTCTTTTTAGGCAAACATTAATCTTGCTAAAAATGATTGAGGCCTCAGATTTTATTTGTAAAGGTGGCAATTTATGGTAAAAAAGCATTTACAAAAATTGAATCCTCCCCAAAATAAAATGCTTTCATAGCTAGTATCTTCTTTAAGAAATATTATCTATTTATCAAGTTTTACTATCTGTAACTATTATGCATTGTAATTTCTTCCACAGCAGTGACATTCCAGTTCTTAAAAGCAAGCCTGCTTGGAGATAGATTGCAGAACTTTAATATTAACACCACCACCTATCATCCACCCCAAATTTAGGGAAAATAGTTAGATCTTTGTGCCATACCTTGAAAGCTGCTGCTTGGTCTTTAGTATAGGCATTATAAGAAAACACATCTGCTTCATAAAATCATGAGACCTTTCTTCATTTTTGGGGTCAAATTAATTGTAACAGTGTGGCAATATTAATTGTTCTTGGCATAATATGATGCAATAAGGACCTATTTTTGATCTGCAATGCTTGGAATTATGTACTTTGTATCTGATGCAGCTTGTTCTGGCCTTGAAATTGTTATGATGTTTTACTGCTTTAAATTCATGATGTAATTAATGCTCTTTTCAAACTGTTGAAAAGTCAAAACATCATATTATTCCCTTCTAACGATTGCTGATGATACTCATGTATTGCCATTGCTCTTCAGTTGGCATGGCTAAAAAAAAATTTAAGATATCGGGTAGTATGTCATAGTCAAATGTTATAGGTAGTTTTCTTATGATGTATTTTCCCACAGAGTTATTTTCCTTGCCTATATCATCTTGGAGGTTCTTCTTTGCACAGGCAATTTCAACACATAAATATGGCAGAAATAAGAAGTAAATTTTAAATCTTTTTGTAACGCTAAAACTATGAACTAGAGTGCTTTAACAAATGCATATTTGTCAGAAAAATTGTGGTATCTTCACTCCAGTATAACAACTTTAAATTGGTTAAATTCTGAATCTTGTCATTGGTGACAGATGGGAAATAACTCTAAAAGCATGTCTATCGAAAACTATCTATAGACACTTGGATATATAATGTGGATGATGTGCAGGAAATACTGTTATTGATGTTTTGTACATTGTATGGACAGTGAGAGAGACCAGGGAAGTAGTATAGTCCATTGAAGTTATGACTTTGGTCCTTACATGATTCATGACAAGGTTTTTCAAACTGTCAAAAATTTAAAGTGCTTGTTATTTACCTCAGTTTTATTTATTTTGAGGAACTTAGTTTTTTGTTTTATGTGAATGTATATTGCATAACATATATATGTATATGAGCATCTTGTTCTACATAGATTCATGCATTGTGATATGTCCGTAGTTGATTTTAACCCATATTGATTTATATTTAGATTATACGAATTTTTGCAGGTTGTCAAGGAAGTTTCTGAATTACATGTATCAAGTTCTGTTTTGTTAATGCATTTCAGCATGGTGTGAGTGGTGTCATGAAGTTGAAGGTTATTTATTCAATGTATAAATATGTGTGGTGTCCCATAACATCAAGGAAGTTATGTCTGTAAAACCTAGATATTTAACTCATTGTTGCCCAAAAAATTTAATGATTTTTTAGTAGAATGTACAGCACACTGGCATGTTTTACACAGGATACATTATTATAATCTCTTTTTGAAAGTTAGCATTTCCCCACTAGAATTCTTTAACATGTTCAGTGATTTCTTGTAAATTTTAAAATTAACATTTAGAAAGAAGGAAAAAAATGTACATCACAGTGTTTAATTCAGTGGCTATCATAAAAAGTTCATTTAAAATATCATCACCTCATCTCTCAGACATTGTGATATTGTTTCTGCTTTTTGTAAACTTTATTCTTGTTAGATTACTTCATTACCCATTAAATGGGTTTACCATTATTTTCAATATGTACTTAACACATTTGATATGTCAATCAAAATTTTTTGTTGATAAGTGCTTATAGAGATGAATCTGCTCCAACTCAAGAGTTGATTGGAATGGATGAGTTTTAAAGAATGCAAGTTATATATATGATTTAAGTATTACAATAAAATAAGCTCAAAATAAACTTGTTTGTGTGTTTTTTATTTGCATGACAAATATGGCAGTATATATCCTAAATTATTTACAAGCATTCAGTGTGCCTACATTTTGTGTAGAATGTCAATCAACCCCTTCTTTGATCAATACATACATTTCTAGAAGGCCCAGGGAACCTTGTTGTTATCTCAGAATTAAGCAGTCACTTTTTACCTCACCTTTATGAAGTTGAGCTGGGTAGTTTTATTCAGTGGTACAGGAGGAGTTGCAGATAAGAGATGGGTACCCTTCAATATTGTAGAAGGAATGGCATTGTCCATACTTTACTATGGGAAGCTCAAAATCAAAAAGTAAAATAGAAGATGCATAATGGCACCATGTAATAAAGATTCTATGAAAGTCTCATTAAATTTTATTCTTTGGTATAAAAGGAGCTGTGAATAAGAGATGGCTATCCCAATTCAAGTGTAATGGATGCACGTACAGACAGAAGAACATACAGCTAAATGGACGGACAGTCATCCTGATCACTATATACCCTCCCACTTTCAAGAAGAATTGGTATAATGAATGCATCTATGGATGCATAGTAGTAGACATGCTTTGGATGCTGGGTCTGATCGATCGACCTACATTTTCCAGATAAGTGACCTGGCCCCGAGATCATGAAACAAAAAAGCGTAAGTTAGAATCTTTATATTTTACCTCAATATTCTGGAAGTTAAGGAGCTGCAGATCTGAAGCTCGCTGGTCTGAAAAAATTAAGATGGACGACCAGAGAGCTACAGTGCCACCCATCGAGAAAACTATATTTATTGCACACAAAAAGTTGCCTTCTGATTCGGATTCACAGGCACTTGTTTTGGAACGAAATTTTTTTAACCTATAGTATAATAATAACACACCATTATACTATGGATTAAAAAATTTCTTAAACAAGTGTCTTTGCACAGGGAGTATCATTTAGGGACCTCAAACCTTACAGTACCTCTAGTTTTTGGTCATTTTCAAGTAACTGTAAGCTCTACCTAGATCAAATATGTATGAATGTTGCATATATAGCACATTACCAGACTATCTTTGGATGCTGAATCTAACCAACATTTTCTGGATGATTGAATAGATTTTCTGAGTTAATAAAACAGATCAATTCCCAAGTAAGTTTAAGGTCAGACGACACGTTCCTCAAAAATATGTAACTTTTCCTAAGAATTTGTCATTGAAATAAAGGTACTTAAACAAGTTTCCTCACAAAAAATTAGGGTACCTTACCAGGCATTTGGACAAGATACCACAGGGTTATATTTCTTATATAACCCTTACGGGTAATCTCTTGAATGGCCTATATCATAATTTTGGGTGTACTTATATCTAAAAACATTTAGAAGAGAATGACAAATATGAATAATTTTTGATATAATACCAAGAGAAACAGGACATATATTTGAGGAATGTGTCATCTGACCTTAAAAAAGCTCTACTAGACCAAACTTGCATCAAAAATGCATCAAGGAACTTACATTACCAGATTTGCTTTAGATGTTTGATATGACCTTAATTTCCATTCAGTACAGTACATTGTGTACATTATAGCCTCTATGATAAGAAACAAGCCCTTCTCTGGTTAACAGCCTCCAAGATCTTTTCTCCAATGCTCAAGTGTTGTAAGAGGAATAGAACTGCATCACTGTAATAGTCTGTATGATATGAAGAGTGTGCTTTAAACAAAAATAACCCTTCAATAAATAAATCATCTTTTATAGCTTTTCTGTGCATGTCAATGTTTTCAACCATAGAGGATGCTTGAACCCACTATTCCCATGATGCTCTATTCACCATTCTAAGAATAGGAAGATGATCTTCAATAAATTGTTGAAAACATTGTTTTGAATTGAGCCCATTTTATTGATACATAAATCTTTCATACATTAACTTGATGTATACCTAATTCATAGCCGAAATGTGTAACATAACACCATGTGTTAAAACAAGTCATGCAGAGGAATACATTTGGGGCAAATTAACAAAGGGAAGCAAACAAGTACACAATCATGCTGAACTGAAAAGAAATTCTTTAAGGTGTTAAGACTTTTTCTGCAAGGAAAATTTAAACATTCCAAATAAGCTGCTTATTATTAAATGTGTAAGCCAAAAACATCAAAATTTTTGGTTAAAAATTGACAAAATAAAAGAGACAATCTGTTTTATATCATATAAACTGGTATTATACAGGATTCATCATAGAGGACATATTTTGGGCCCAAAGCACCATACAAGTTCTAAAGCAACCAGCTGCATGAATGATGCACCCTTGGAATCTTAGTACGAAACTATAACTTATTAAGAAAAAAAAAAATTAACATATTTTCTGTGGCCAAGAAATTCCCTTTCTTTCATTTCTCAAAAGTATGCTTTAACCAAAACAACTGAACAAAAAAAATCTTCAGATGGATGTGGAAAATGGATTTTCAGAAAAATTTGACAAAGTATGATCGAAATAACATAAAATAAACACTGTATCGAAAGTTTGGAAAAAATCTTCCAAGGATATAAACAAACCCTTCACACAACAAGGAAGGTACAATGTATTTGTGCTTTTGTCTGCAATTATATAATACAAAACTATGTACATACTTTGATGACTATACACATATTTTTTTCACATTCACTTGTCAAAAAAACTAATCTGTACATCAACAATTTATTGCATATTAAAAATAAAACGGGCCACAGAGTAATAAATACTAGTCATCATTACACATAAGTAATAATGTACACACACAGTACCATAAAAAACAAGAATAATCTGGACAGTGTACGTTATGCTAGTTGGCCTCTGTAGTACTTTTTGTTAATGTTTACTCTGACCAGCAGAGTCCATAGTAGTTTCTCATACAACCTATGCACTCAAATACCCAATCAACTGCTTTATTAACACTCCAGAAAAGTAACAATTCTCTACCTGCCCAGTTATAAATGCAAATTTTTGTTGATTGTCAAAGATATTAGTTTTCAGAAAACAAGAACTTCTTATTTTATTCAGAAACCATACAGATACATTAATATAGAAAAAAAAGAATGTTTTCACAAGACAAACAACAGAAATTAAGTGAACACATCTATATTTTGCACCCACTTCATCTGACACCAAAGGGGGCAACATTTGATACACTGAAAATGAAATCTGAAGTGCCCATAATGCAGACTCATTTTGATTTATTACAATTACATAGTGTGGCCTTAGTGCTCCAACAAACTAACAAAGGTGCTACACATAAACTTTTGGTAGAAAAGGAAATGAATAAGAGGGTATGTTATGCTACTGAAACATGTTATCATATAAAACTAAAGGTGATACATATTAATACCTATATATATAAGTAGTGCACCTGTTTCTTGTGATGAGTTTTATGCAATAAATAACAATGGTATTATTACAATGTTGGCAGACGAGGGAAATACTTGGACCTGGTCAGGTAAGAACACACAAAGGGCAAAATTCAGGGAAGGTCGGTAACATGACAATTCTTCCATCTTATTTACTACAGAAGCTTTCCTAGCACTCAGTACTCACAAGAAGAATACCTATAATAAGCCACCGTGGAGGCAATTTATCTATTCCATAAGTATACACTGTTCTTGAAATAGCACTTTCTCCCATGAGTGTTAATTAAAAGATGTGAGTGCTTCTCTTTGAACTCAAGTTTGATTCAAAGTGAAGTTAGGGTAAACAAAGTTCCCACAAGGTTGTACAAGGAAAATCATAACAGGACCAGTACAAGCTTGGCACTATCTTAACATTTAGCATAAGGCAGGGAGATATGAAAATTATATTACAAGTGGTCACAGTTTGTTCATAATTTCATATGTAATCAAAATCCTTGTCAATATTATGTATGCCTTCCACTAAGATGCTAAAGGTAACATTGATATAAACTCTCGGCAGTTAATCCCTTCTTGTTCAAAAAATAAAGACTCCATGACTTTACAACTATTATCTTTGTCATGTGACTTATTTAGCATGCGCATATACATTCTGATGAGCCACAGTGAGGTCACGACCTGCGTCGTGGGCGGAGCTATTCACACACACATGCACACAAAATTAACAGTTCCTGATAATGGCAGACTAAGTCTTGTTGTTCATCTTGTTTTTACTATTGAATTCTATCTTCTCTAGTTTTTTCCAAAGTTCCTCTCTATCCTTCTCCTTTTTCTTTTCTCTGTTAAACGTGAAATTGTCATCAAATTTAAAAATTAATTCTATCATTGACAGTAACTTATTTGAAGAGAATTTCAATTTCCTCAAGATGAATTCACAATGAATTTCTTAATAATTATAATTACACTGAAGTTCTCAAAAATTTCCTCAAGATGAATTCACAATGAATTTCTTAATAATTATAATTACACTGAAGTTCTCAAAAATAATTTAAGAAGCATAGATATCAACATAATTCAAGAAGCATAGATATTAAGAGTAAATTTTGAGGATTTTTTTTAAAAACTAGATAATCTTGTTCTTTAACCTTAATAAAATGTCCATTAGAATGGTGACTTACTTTTGTCTCTCAGCTTTGTAGTTGGCAGTAAGTTCGTCAAACAGTTTACCATTCATTTCCATGAAGGTTTTGAGAACGTTATAAACCAGGGCTACAATGGTTTGATTCCAGTGCTCCTTGGAGATTTTATACAGGGCTGGAAACATGATGGGGAGAACCACATTGGAATTCTCCTCAATCAGGCTCATAATGTAGTCATTGTTCCAATAATACAGCGCCCTCTCTGCAACCTGAAATTATAGAAGAAAAATTAAAATCTAACAGTGTCTAATTTACTTGAAATCTGAAGATTTTCTCAAAAAGACAAAAGATCTGATTTTCTCAAAGAAAAAATAGGTAACTGATTATGGGAGATCCCATATAACGGGTACATGGTCATGCTAAATGACACAATATTAACAAGTGTCTGGCCTTATACATGTATTTAAACAATTCATAGTAAGAGAAAATAACCTTGGTCCTATACCTCATTAAAATTGAACACTTTCTCACTACACACTCTATAATCATCAATGTTCATTGGGGAATAAATGTTTGTAGATTTTGTGGTTCACCCTTATCCATAAAATTTACATCCCTACCAACAGTTACTTTGTCAACATATTTATTTACTGCATAATCTTTACATTAGAGTTGCCTAGGAAACTACATTCCCACAAACGAAGAATATTTCATTGAAAAATCATCGCAAGTTATTAAAACTTTGATCAGAAAAGTTCCTTTGACTCTTATATACATTAAAAGATAACAAAACAGCAATGGTCATAATCTAAGTCAGACTTATTAAGTCAAGATTTGCAACTTACTTGAAAATGTGGACTAGATACACATCTAGAAATCTGCCTGAACAGAGGCTCCATGACTTTTTGGAACTGGGTCGGTTCAATAACATCTAGTATCTCCTCAATTTCTCCCAAGAACATTACCTATTGTAGACAAGAAATGTTACAGAAACCGTAAGAGTGGCAATATAAATGATAAACTAGAAATATGTCTGTTGGACAAGAATCTTTTTCCAATGTTCATTAGTAATACAACATGAAATTTTGTATCTGTGTATGAAGTTGGATGAAAATGCCTTTGTCAAACAAAGGGTCCTCTAAACATTGAGAGGACATGATCAACCAACCTACAATTCCTCCCAATTCTCAAGAGTGTGGGGGAGTGCGTTTAAAAAAAGTTGAAAAATATAAGAACATACGAAATTTTCATTATAAATAGTGCATATGTTTGAGCAACTACATGTATTGCATTTATTTGCAATTCTAAACACAATATACATGTATATCTCTGGTAGGCCCTATTCAGCTACCAACAAAGTCCTATTGATTAAATATTTCATCTTCCATCAACTCACCTCTTTTTGACTACAGGTTTTGGGCCAGAGTTTCAGAAGTCCTTTTATGACCTGAAAGATACCAAAAAAATTATAAGTGTTGTTCTTATTGCAAAATTGACCTCAGCCTAACCCAATGATTAACATATGGGTTAAAAAGCTCACTTGATTAATGAATATGATCACAGGATATTAAAATTATGTCAATTAAATTTATAAATTGTGGTCATCTTGTACTTGATAAGACATTTCGGCAAATTAGTTCTTGGGATTGTGGATCCACCATGGTCATATAAGATAATGGTTTTAAAAAATTTGAATTTACATCTAGTAAGATGCCTGCATGTTGACAAAACAAACTGTGGACTTATATTCTTGAGAATATGTAACATTTTTTTCTTTTAAATTTCCATTTAAACCTTTGACCAGAGGCCAAAATTTGTACTGTTCTAATTCACATTTACGGATTTAGCCAAAAACTGTACGGGGATACATACATATACAGTTCTTTTTGAGAATATTTTTTCTTAAGATTTTCCCATTACTGTATATGTCTGTGGTAATTATTGAGGACCACACCCTAGCCGGGGGGAGAGGGGTTAAACAAACATAAACTACTCTCATTGTCTGTCTACAGAAAAGCAAAGAACAGCAAAGTTATGGGGACCAAGTACCCCCCAATAGAAAAACAAACTTATAAAAGACTATTTAATTTCTTGGCCTAGTAGAACTTAGGTGGGGCTGAAAAATTTAACTTTCAGTCAGTCCTGCATGTCTAGCTAATTTTACTGTGAGTTTCAACACTCCCTAACACCATGAATTTAAACAATCCATTCATGGGAGACTAGTCATAGGATTCATAGCTCATTATCACTCATGACTGTTTTAAATTTCATTTATATCATTTGACAAATTGAGTATAGCTGGTTAAGTTTTTAATCATGTATTCAATGTGATGTTAATATTCCATTAGAGTGAAAAAAGAACACTATTTTACATATCTATCTGATTCTAGCCAAGGGTGACAATCAACCACTCTTCTCTTTACACTCTTAAGAGACTGGGTCAATATTTATACAACCCATAATATTCCAGCCATGTCAACAGTTATAATTTATACTCATTGTTACATTTCTTTTCTTTTTTTTCATACAAAAAAAAAATTCCCCATATTTTGCATTGATTCTGTCTTGGAGACAGAATGTTTAATACACAGTGTATTTAAAATCTTCTTTATCTAATTCATTGTTTTAGCTATAGCTGTCAAAAGACCCATAAAGCAATATTTAAACTGATTAGGTATAGTTGATATAGCAAAAAAGGACTGAACTCCAAATGATGACTGGGTGGTAGTTCGGATCTTGGACCAAGAGTGAAAAGAGGAGAGTCACAGAACTTCATCTTAGGCTAAGAAGTTAAAAAATACAGGCATCATGATTTCAGTCAGTGTGGTATAAAAAGTTAAATATTATATGTATTGTATGAATATATATATATATAATAACCAATATGCATTATATATGATACACTTCTTTTTATAATCATGATTATATACATGTAATTGGAGTGATATAACCACTGTGAACTTTGGCATATCATATAAATGTACTATATGATTTTCAAGGGACTTAAAAAATTAAACTACAGCAATTAACATTAAATCAGTTCCTATAAAGATTGCTTAAAAATACTGAATGGAATAGAAAAAGTAACTTCTAGAAAACACAGAGATAAAGAAAAATAAAATGTTTGATAGGTGGGGCCTTTCATACATGTATATGCACTGATATCATTTCTTAGTAAAAACAAGAGGTATACAAATTCTGCATATATATATAAAAATGTGCTGTGTAAGAAATTCAAGATTAAGTGCATGTATTCTCTTAGAGTCATAAAAGTAATACACCTTTTCATAGATTCAAATTCAAATCACAAAAATAAAAAAAAAACAGAAAAGAAAAGAAAAAGAAAAGAAAAATAGTGCTTGCTATCAAGTTTAGAGAAAAAAGTTGAAATAGAAATTTAAATGGGGAAAAGGGAGAAAAAAAATGTTTCTTTAAAAAATGAACTAAATTTTGTACCCAAAATAAGACTAAAGCACACAATAATTAAAATTTTTAAGATTACTGTGAGCCTAATTGTGGACTTTCTTGTTCACCAATCATATAAAATGTTAAGTCCCTGTTAATTTTTTCTACTTTACTTACTTACTGCCCATGACGCCTTTGGCGTATAGGGCAGTAAGTTAATTTCTACATAATACAGAAAATATTTTGCAAAATAATTTTCTTTAAACATACACTGTATGGTGAAAACAACCATGCATCAATCAATAGAACCAAATAATACTGGGCATACAAATCAAGCACCCACACCAGACCCAGTTATCTCCCCTTGGAGAACTCTCCAGGGTGACCATTTTACCTCCTCAGTTAAGCATGAATCTTTCTCGAGAAACTGCACTGAGCAATAAGCTAACTGCAAGAGAAAGAGAGAAACAAGATGATCAATAAAATGTTTGGAAAGATGTGATTTACCTCTTCTGTCAAGGGGGCATCTTTTTCTAAAAACTGCACGACACAATAAGCCAACTGGAATCAAGAAAACATGGAAATTTTCTGTTAAAATATATTACATTAAAGATAGTTAGTTTGTTATCTATTTAGTTTTCCATCTTGAAACAATATAGTTTTCCATCTTCTTATCAGAAACCTTAATAGAATGGGAAAACAGATTTTTAAACATGTTTACACACTAACTAATATCATGTCAAAGTTAATACTTTAGAGGCAAAATTATGCTCTAAATTTTTGATTATGATTATTACAGATAATTCTATGCTGGATGGGCAAAAAATGTGCTTGAAATTTTTCTATCCAATCCTTGTGCATGATATATTTTATAACAGGGAAGTATTCACAATATCACTATGATAAAAGTTCCTCATACAATAGTCTCTGCTGTAATTAATTAGTTCTGTGGGCTGATAACCTGAATATGAATTATCTCACCTGGGCATGGTACAGATTCAGAGTCTTTGCCTTGTGGAGAGGTATCAGAACTTTAATTAAAAACTGCTTGTGCTCTGCTTTCAGAGGTAACGCAAAACCATTAATAATGCTGAAAGAGATTACCCAATATCAGTGATATTACTTCACAATTCCTCCATCGGAAGAAATAATGGCTGATGAAATGTAAATTTCATCCTAAAGTAGACAGTTCATCAAAGTAATTGACATTAATCTCATTTATTTAATCAAAGGCACTGATCAAAGCCCGAAATGTCCTTGAAATAATGCATACAAGAGCAACTTGAAAATTGATTCTAAAGACTTATATTTTTTCCTCCAAAATATTCTTCTTCTGTATGGTTCAAAATAGAACTCACCTGCCTAAAATCTCTAACAATTCTCCAACACCATTAAAAGATTCTGTTTCATATATAAACCTGAAAGAAAGATAGAATAGTTTATAGACAGTGATAGTGAAGAACATGTAACACATACCAATGAATTCTCACTTATCTACTGATCAACTGGTCAAAATTTGATATTGTGGCTTCTCTCACTTTCACAGAATCATTTAAAGTTCTTTGTCAAAGGTAAAATTTGTGAACAAAAAATAAATACACATTTCTCTCATTGTGTTGACATAAAAAGTAAAAGTGACTGCTATGTAACAATCTGACAAAAAGCATCATATTTTTTTTCTTTAATAAGCTTTTAGTTGCCAAGGAATTTTTTCTACACCTTTACAAAAACTTGCAAATTGGGAGATATAAATTTCTTCCTTGCATTGTATCGACTTTGCCCATTACATAGCAAACCCAGGAAAACAAAATCCCATTCACTCACCTGAGGAAGATATTATTTATCTGTTTCCTAATGAAAGCTCTAAGGCCTAAAAATTTGCCATATATCCTATGTAACACTGTCTTCAAAAAGTCTCTTTCCCTAGGATCTTCACTATCAAACAGTTCCAGTAACTACAAAGAGAGACATCGTCTCAATGGAAAATAACAAGAAAGAGAGATGAACATGGCACAAGAGAAAAAAGACTGTGTACTGAACGTCAAATTTTACCTGAAGAACAAACTTTTGGTCTATATATTTCTTTGCAAGGCTTGGTTGAAAATCTGGAGATTCTAAAAACCTTAGGAAGAATTCATAAACAATCTGAAAAGAACAAAATTATATTGAATAAAAACCCCAAAATTTTGTGTGTGTGTGTGTGTTTTTTTTTTTTTTGCTTGTTTTTTGTTATGAATCAACTTCTCAATATTGTTCGAATAAACAAAATTTTCAAATACACCATCAATATCAACTCGAAAGTAAATTTACACTGTTTTATGAAATAATCTGTTAACTACCTGTAAATGTGGCCAGGAGGCCTCTAGGGTGGGGTCGTCTTCCTCCGGGTCAAAGTCAGGGTTGTCATTTGGCGGTAATGTACGGAATATATTACAAGCAATCTGAAAGTACAAGATATAAAACATCTAGTATCTGCAGTCTTGTGTTCGAATGGAATACACAATATTTAAAAAAACATATCAGCTTATTAACATGGTCAGTGATCGATACATTGTTTATTGCATGTTCTATCCTGTGATAAATCTGGAATTACAGATTTTTACCTCTTTATTTCATGCCAATGTCTTAATGTTAAATGACCCACGTACATATTTACTAATACATACACATAGGATCAGTCTAGCCACAAGGACTGGATTTTTAAATCCCCCTCATGTACTTGATGCCAATTAAAAAACATCAAAATAGATAGTATACACTGCATGTGAAATCTTGAGGAGACACTTAATTACAAAATCCATGTGTCTATTTAAAACACCAATCATTTCTCCTCTTCCATGACTTGACTACCAAACACAACTGATAAAACAGTGTTATTTTTTCATTTCCAAATTCATAATATAACAAATTTACTAAACATAGGGCATTGAAACCACTTGGATTAATGCTTAAGGATTAAACTTCCCCTCTGTGTTTATGCTGTTTATAGCTGGGAGAAATTCCATTAAAGATGACTGTTAGAGACCAACTAGAAAAAAATAGACTCATAAGACCCCGAGCTTGTTATTGGATACTAGCAATCTATAACGTGGATCATTTATTTGATCAAACATTTAAACAAGGCATTGCTAGGCAATAAACCTCAAATCTGAAATTAAACAGTACAAATATTAACAGTTTTGAACCATGGTATGTGTGTTTCACCCCACATACCACCAACACTGTAGAGGATATAAAAGCACAGATATTTGATATTTCAGACAATACAATGTATACAACACCCACCTCCACCCCATCCCCTTCTATACTTTTCACCTGGGGCTAGTGATTTTATTGCTACCACTAGCCTGTGGGCTAGTGCTTGAATTTTTTAATCACACCCTCCTGATACTGCATCTGAACAGGCTTGCATCACTAAGATGTATTGGACATACTTGTATCACATTATTTATTGTACCTGCATCATACAGTTGTCAAACATATATAAGAAACTTGAAATTTCTAAGAACTATGAACTACTGACTTAGTAATTCAAACCAAATCTAAGCATTGAACTCATAGAATGATAACCCCCTCCTTTCTATAAGAGTATAATGGAAAGTACAACCCTACCCTCCACCCCACCTTTAAAGCAGTGGGTATGAAAATGAAGATTTTCTGTGACACAGTGTATTTAACTGAAGTAAACTTCAGTATTGAATAATCAATTTTTATTATTCCATTCAAATGCATACATAAGATATGATTTTCTCAGAGACAAAAACAGGTAACTGATGATCCCATATCCATACAGTAATGCTAAAGAACAGAATATTAACAAGTGTCTGGCCTTTAGTTTAAACAATTCATAGTCAAAGAAAATAACCTTAGTCCTAATACCTTAATAAAATTGAACAATTTTCCAAATGTTTGGACATGAAATGACGTATGAGTCTGAACTGCAGCAGACTTAGAGCAGTGTGACTGACATGAGCTGATAGATAATAGTTACATGTACTGCTGTACAGACAGCTGAGTAGGAGTCTAGCATCATCTGTTATGTACACCTGCCACTGGCAGAAAACAACCTCGGGATTACAATGCAAAATGTTTAACCATGTTAAAAAGAAGTCATCATCTGTAAGTGGGTAGGTGCTAATTTCTAAAACCTTAAGTATCTGCTAATTCTTAGGGCAGCAGGTAAATATGATTTTTTGGTCAAATGGAGTACAAACAACATTAAAGTACTGAAATCACTTTTTCTTCACTTTATTTTCGCGACAGTATGCTCGCGAAAATTTAATTCTCGCGTATAATAGTATTCCTTAGGAGTATACAGAGAGCAGTTACCACAATTCGTGAAAATTTTGTCTCACTAATCAAGAGTCAATGACTATCTCGCGAAAATAAGGTGTCGCGAAAATTTAGTGATCTACAGTACTCTCATATTGAATCTTCAAACCTGATTGGTTAAGAAACATTTTTAAAAATTATCACATTATCCCATGAATATGATTGCTTTCACAAGTGGTAAAATACAGCAATGGGTATATATGGGTAACAACACTATTATATACAAATGTCTCAACAGTCTCATTTGATCATTTCAAGAAACAAAATTAAATGTGTGCAAGATGTCATTTCTTAAATTTAAAAGTAAATGGTAGATGCTTACTTTAAAACTCATTTACCTAAATAAAATATTACTCTTACCATATAATCAATAGTGAGATTAAAATTGTCAAGACTAATCTCAAATTTAATTAACTATAGCTGATTTCAGATTTCAAATTGAATGTTTGCATTAGCCGACAGAAAGGAAGATCAAGACCAAGCAGAAATGTTATAGTGCTTGCTAAAGAAACAAACCAGCTAGAAATGAGGAAATCAATTTTTTAGAGAATGTAAATGTCTTTACTGGATAAACAGGAAACTATCGATATATTAATGCAACAGTGGGAAAAAATTTCATTAAATGTAAACACAAGATAAAATATTCACTTTTTGTTTGAAAGTGTCTCCCACTGTCTAGAGCATATAATCTCAAATCTTAAACAAACCCTGTTCTCAACATTCATTTGTCTCTAAAAGAAGAAAACTGTGTTCTCTATGGTGACATCCTTACACATTACAAGATTGATTAAAAGCCTAATAACCATTTCCATCATGATAAAATTCTATTAAGCATCTGGTAATTTGAGAAAAGTCCCTTAATATTTTAATGGCTTCTCCCAAATACAATTTGCTCAAAATTAACATCGATTCACCTGTTACAAAAAAGATTTCGAGAGTTAAAAATAGTTCCTCAGTGAGCTTGCCTAGGCTATAAATATCCTGCAGTGACGACAGAGTGTGATCACTCCTTCAATTCCATTCACATTCCTCAGATACACAGCACAGCAATGTGTGAAAATTAAACTGGCTTTACATGTACTCCACAACATCGCCTTGACAGTCAGTGTTAAAACAAGCAAACTTCACACTTTGTACCAACTGCAATGCATATTCCTGACACATGAATACAAATCTATGAACTTTCAACAAAACATGTATTTTTTAAAACGCATATTGGTGTCTTATTCTGCATGTGGAACAGTTATCATGTCTTGGATGTATTCAGGACCATAGCAGCAAGGTAGCTTATTTTTTGCTAGCCTAGTAGCTGATATGAAGGAAGGGCTAGCAAAATCATTTGATGCTAGGTGGTAACCTAAACCTATAGTTATCAATTCACATCTCATGATGAACTAACATAAACCAAAGTTATTTCCTCTATCTTTATTTACCCCTGGTAGACAAAACATTTTCATTGGACTTGGCCTTACTTTCAGTTTCAAATGATTTATTGTTATTGAGTGTATCCAAAATCTGACACCAAGGCAAAAGGCCCTTTCAGGAAACCTACACGTTAGATATCTATCTAGATTAGCATTAATTAACTGAAACAGCTAACAAACTTTTGCATATTTACCCATAATTCCTGCATATCAAGATATGAAATATATTTTGATATTTTTCGTACAAATATATCTATTAAAAAGAATTTCTCACCTTACTTTGAATGCAATATATACTGCAAACTACCAGGTACGTATACTTTTTTTTTAATTGCAAACAAGTCTTGGAAATGTGCAATATGAAAAAAAAGGCCATGTCCTTTGAATTTGACCACAAACTTATGATCAAGAATAAACGTAAAACTCTGTTCTTTGGTCTATATATTAAACTTTTAATACTAGTGACACATGCAAGACACATTATAGCATTTAACATCCTCATGCACTATGGCTATCAATCTATTATCTGCCTTAGTAATTCACACATTCTAAATCTGTATACTTATCCTTTTTCTAAATGACAGTACTCTTACAAACCCTTCACTGTCAGACCATATTGATCACAAAGGAAGAGGAGAAATCATTGGGTAGTTATCTCAGAGGTTCAAATTAGGTGTCTAGATATACATGTCATTCAGGCACAGTTTCATCAAGACTTGCTATAGAGATCAATCATCAGACTTTGCCTTTCTCCTTCTAAGGGCAAAATTGTACAAAACCACCATGAATATGGTACCATGTTATCCATGTACCAGTAATCAAGATCCTTGATTTAGAGATTTTGCTTTCAGAACCTTTTCTCCATATTTTGTTTTAATCTTCTTGACTTCAATTTAAGGATGACATATGGACAAAATAAGTTTGCACTATTAAATAGATGTTCTGTAATGCTAAAAAGCCTTGTATATTTGGACCATCCAGCTAACCTGCATGTTTCATAAGAAAGCAGTCACTTGTGCATATATCTTGCCTGTAATATACATACAATTACATAAATTCCCAAGGCTTAAATTAGGTTGCCAAGAATGAGGATGTGACCGACTCACCAAAATCCACCCTACCAGATTTTTTTTACCAGTTCAAAAATCTTCTTTTTTTTTTTTAAGTTTCCATTTTCATCCAATATATTTTTTAGACGTAAGTCTCCATTGCACCTATGCCGTTTTTAAAAAGGAACTGATGTGTTCTGATATTTGAGCAATAAAAGATTGAATTCATTTAAAATGCTTTAATTTTCTTGTTTGATTAGTAAGGTGAAATCTAAGTCATAGTTAATACCTCTGTATAATTGAAATTTATTTCTGACATTTTGTCTCAAAAAAAAAAAAGAAGCCTACCTACCTATTCACACCTAAAATGATGAGGCGCGTTACTGCAAAAATAATTTTTTTTAAGGATGGCCTGATGATTTCTTTGAGACAGATTTTGTTACAAATATCTTATATGTTAAAAATCCTGAATCTTTATCAACTGATGACCATCATCACTTCATATGATCCATAAAACATGCTTCACTGAAATGGAATTGGGAAAAATTTCAAGCAACTGCCCACATGAAAGATAAGGAATTATGACTTTTATGGTGGCAAACACTCCTCATTATGACTTGAGGTCATATATGCATAGTTCTTGGAGACAAAAAAAACCTGGACCAACACTAACTCAAAAATCTGTATCATAATTCTTTGCCTTTATAAATAAGGAAAACTCACACAAACTCCATACCTTCGTTAAACATGACCATTACATAATTTGAAACTCTTGGTACATGTTTAAATGAATGACTCACCTCCTTAGTTAAAAGCGCAATCAATTCAAGTCTTCATTTTACTCTTAGATACCAGAACATGCTTTTAACATGTTTAAATATTAAAATTATTAAGATACACACCATGCGGACGACCTCTGGATACACAGGTTCAGCCAGGACACCTCGAGTAGCTGTGATGTAATCCACAAGTTCGTTAAGACATGCTCTTTTCACCTCTTTACTTTTGAGGTCAGATACAGGGTCCATAAAGTCAAACACAACACAACATTGCTGTAATTTCTTAATGAACAATTCTTGTTGCTCTGCAGGTACAGTGTCTGAAAATAAGTACAATTTAAAGTAAGTATTGGAGCTTTGACATACCAGAAAATTGAAATGTCTTCTCCAATCTGATTGAAAACACAATTTTGTCCACAATCCTACCCAAAATTTATGGTTTACCTGAATCTTTCATCATTAAAAAAAAAAAAAAATTCAATCCATAATATAGTGAAGTATCATTTCAGCAGGCTGCTATATTTGCTTACCAGGAATACTCATCAAGTTATAAATGAGTTATCAAGTAGGCATAATAAATGAATACACATCTAGTAATAATTCGACTCTTTACATACAATTCGCCAAAAATAATTGAATTCTTCTGAATTAAAAATTAATAGTCATATTTTTTAATTCAAAAGCAGACTGTGTTCAAATGAGAAATGTTGAAGCTTATATAGCGTTCAGATGAGGAAAATATTGAAGCTTAGACATAAATCTGTCCTGGGAATGGGATACACAACTCAAGCCAGTTTACATCTTAATAATTTTATTTGTTTTGGGCTTTCGGAGGGGATAGGTAACAAGATTAAACATTAACTAAAACATTAACTTGAATATCTTCTACACAATGTTTTTATACAACAAAAATAAATGCAGTGTGGAGTACACTTGAAATTTTAGAACCTGCAGTATCCATGGACATGTCTGCCAAGAATCCCACTGGAATGCGGCTCTTTAATGCTAATTCAAAAACGATTATGTATGTATCGTGTTATAAATGTGATAAAGACTACACACATGTGTTGATTTTTCCCAGTCTAAGGACCAAAGGTTGGGATGGGCCTTACCTTTCAACTGCGGTAATGCTTGCAGTTCGGGGGCATTTTTGGTCCGATAATGCGATGAGCCTTGAGACCGTTTTTGTTTTTTCGACTTCACTGCAGTTTTGCTAGTGAATGGATCTATACGATCTACCGCTCTTGCAGACATGGTTTATCTTACGCTGAAGAAAAAACCTTGATAATGTACATAAGTTATCAATTGTTTTGCCTTTTACGAGAACATCATGGCTTCTACATATGCATATTTGTCAAATCCGTGGTAACACAAAACCGGTCTCGTTCTGTTAAATCCCAAATACTATGCCGTAAAAATTATGTTCATGTCCACCGCTAACAAGTTTGGTATTCGAATGAAATACTTTCGTAATCCATACAATAAAGACAGGCTGATAAACAATATCTTTCTTAGCAGAAATATAGGTTGCTAGTTCAGTTGTGCAGTTTTATCACGTCATGTGGTAAAGAGGACGAGATTAAGCGAGATTTGAGTCTGAATAACAAATTTGAGAGGGAAATTCAAATAAGATATCACTTGGATCTGAAATAAGTCTAAAAAAAAATTTCAATTAACAAAATATACTGTATTACAATAAATGTAAACATTTCGAACCTAAACCTTTTACTTTTTTCATTTTGAGAATTCACAGATAGATCGCATCTTGAGGCAGTTTTCACCCCCACCCCCCTCGCTTGCATCTAAGAGAGTCCTTGTGAAACTTTAAGGACATCCCACCTATTTAGAATTATTCTTTATTATTATTATCAGAATTATTATTTTTTGTCAAAAACAGCAGATACCAAATAACACGTATCATTGGCCTCGGAAGCAAATAAAAAAGGGGGATGCCGCTAAGTGAAAGACCAAAAAAAAATTAAAAAAACTTGACAAGTAAAACAAAAAGGGGGGGTATGGTCCTTTGCCCGAACACGAAAATCTTATTTCGTGGGGGGGGGGGGGGGGGGGGGGGGGGGGGGGGGGGGGGGGGGGGGGGGGTAGGATCGAACTTCTTTCAGTACCAAATTTTTTGAAAGGTGGGGGTTGGGGGAGTTGGGGGTTGGGGGTTACGCCCAACGTTCAATGCTTATTTTATGTCTATATCTGCAATCCCCCACTCCCCGCCGGTTCCAGCGTCCATGCCTATTGTTTCTTTTGTCAGCCAAAAAGGAGAGGGACCTGTACATGTCACCTTGATATTTAGGAGCATTCAAACTCAAAGGTCAACGTCAAGAGATAAATAATAATGTTACTGAAAGAAAAAAAAAACTTGTTTCAATTAATATACATGTGAAATATGAAAGCCCTGGCATAACTGAACCATTCCAAAGTTATGGGCAAGATAAAGGTTTTTTGTGTGTTTTTTAATGTGGATAATGATCAGACTCCAAGGTAGGTCTAAGGTCAAACTTAAGTTACCCAGGGGAAGGTCTTTTCATATAAAATATTCATATGAAATATTAAAGTATTTGCCCAACCATAGCCAAAGTAAAAGTATTTCAAAAATAGGTCAACGTCAAAGGAAAGGTCAAGTTCACAAAATGCTGATGCAAATGAATAGACCTGACCAATAATTGTTTTTTTTTTTTTTTTTTTTTTTTTTCATATTATTTTTTTTGTTTGTTTAAAAATTTTTTTTTTTTTTTTTTTTTTTTTGGTTTTTGTTTTTAGCAACTAAGCTTTGACTTGGGCCGACAGCAGAGCTAAACCCAAAGTAACTGCAGAACTGTAGCTCTCCGAAAAATATATTGACAAACCGGAGAGCTACAGTGCCACCCATTGAAAAAAACTGTATATTTGTTGCGCACAAAAATTTGCGCTTAGTTCTACTTATTCTACAAAAATATTACCTGAATTGAAAAAAAAAGCTAAATTAAAAAAAAAAATCTTACTTTTATATCATGTACACTCGTAATTTAATTGACATCTGCACGAAGCATGTTAGACCGAATTATCTTGCAAACAAATATGGCAGTAAGACTTGACGAAATTTTCGATGATCTTAATTTCAGGGCCAGGAGGGCTATTAAACAACAATTATAAGAAACGTTTTGTTGTTGAAACAGCGAAAGAATATCTTAGGATCACAGGTTAGTAATACTTTGATGTGACGGTTTGAAAAACATGGAAAAATAAATTGAGAAACAGCGCACTTTTTGTGCGCAATAAATATACTTTTTTTTTTCAAAGGATGGCACTGTAGCTCTCCGGTCTCTCAATATTTTTTTTCGGAGAGCTACAGTTCTGCAGCTAAACCCAAAATGAAAGGATATGAGAGCTAAATAGCTTCAACCCAATCAAATTAAAAGTTACGAACAAGGTGAAAGTTTCTACGGACAAACAGACTGTTAGGCGGACGGACATGGCAAGAGCTACACATTCCCAAATCTTCGATTACCATTACGGGGGTAGAAAAATCGCATTGTGTAACCACACCTTTAGACTACAAAACCAAACTGACCTGTTACATTAAACCTTTTTGCAATTTCTATATATAAAGAAATCATGTGAAAGACCTCTCTTTAAATAGATGGTAACCGTGGCGGTTTATGCAAGCTATTCCCACTTTTTGAAAATCAGGTAGAAAAAAGTGAAATTTCACGTGGGAGTAGGTGGAATTTTTGTGTAAACAAATAATTAGCTGAATAAACATGTCATTACTGTGAAACAGTAATTATTAAACCACTTGGAGTAAAGGACAGGTAAATTTGCTATTTTAAATTTTAAAATCTGGCTTTTTACTTCTATTTCAATGAGAAATTAGTCTTTTTCAAATAAAAATAGCAGATAAATTATTTATTTAGATTAATTAAAAAATCACATCGCAAAAGACCGATGTATGGTAAAAAATTTCATAATATAGAGCAATTAAGATTTTCATAATAATTATACACATGCAAAAGTATATATTTCAGTGAATTTAAGTATATTTTAAATATTTTTTTGATAAATATATTTATTTTCTGTCTGAAAATGTACAAAATAATTGTAAAATACAGGTAAATCTAAGATGGGATATAATTAGTCTAATTGCTGTTAAAACCAATTAATTAATCAAAACATCTATTGTTATTTGCAAGTGAGAATAGGTGGAATTGAGATTTTTAAAAAGTGGGAATAGCTAGAAGACACCACCGTGGCTACATTTGGTTGCAATTTTTATAACAACATGGTGATGTATACCCTGTAAAAGCTTTAATACACTAATGATATAGGTTTTACATTACCAACAATAGAGATATAATATAATTATAACGAAAAATATTTGTCCTTGCGTAAATATGTCTTGAGACACTTTTAGCAATATGATTATAAAAATATAAGTACCCTGGTTGTCATGGTAGTACAGCATGTATACTCATTTTTATATGCAATGCTCATTAATACTAGGACTACCGTAAAACGACTAGAGGTAAATCATTACTGCATGCTAGAAATAAAATTGGTTTATGGGAAGCAGACAGAAAACCTTTGGCTACCAGAGATGTAACATGAAAAGTCTAACTAATTTAACTTAGATAATTTTTGCTGCATTATAGGAGCGTTTACATGGTTTAGGCCTAATCAACGGAGTATTTACTCAAGGTTAAATGTTATAATATTTTTTGTTAATTTATAAGTTTGATTACCTTTTAATCATAGAAAAAATGCATTAAGTATCTTGATATCTTAAAATTGTACTAGTCAGATAGAACCATAATTATGATAAAAGAATATTATTGCTTTCGTTACCATGGAAGGAAAATGTTTAAACCCCCCCCCAATTCGTTATAACACTGTTCCTTATATGTTTTTAGCTTTTTCCACCCCGACGGTAAGTCGGGTTGCATATAGAAATAAATTTTAGGAAGTTAAGAAATTCAAATACAGTGGCACATATCCAAGGAGACAACACCGTCTAGGTTTTTTTTCTTCTCAAAGGTGGGTTAAAGTCAAAGGTCTAGGTCAAAAGACCTGTACCAAAGAAAGGTCTTGTAAGATAATGGAATTTGGAATTATTCCGAAAAATCTTACGTTTTCCAGTTTGTTTTTTTTTTAACGATTTTGATATTTTAAAATATCAAAATCGTAAAAAAAAAAAAAAAAAAAAAAAAAAAAAGCCTGTAAAACGTCAGATATTTCGGACTATTGTGGAATATGAGTAATGCTTCAATGCAACCAATCAACAATTATGGCTAAGGGTAAAATCCAAACAAACCTCAGAGTAAGGGGCAAAAAAATATATAGTCTTCTAGAATGTCTTCGTCATTCATCAGAATCATTTGATGTACGAACTACTATAAAGAAGCACGATTTTCTAATCTCGTATGCGCTTTTAATCATACTTCTCATTCATGAAATCACCAAGAACATTTTGACATTGAATTATAGGACACAATCCCAAAAAATCATGAGTTCTGTAGGTTCATATCTTTATTCTAACACACTTGTGAAGTGTGCTGTTGCAGGAGCTGGGCTTTGTTTTCTTGGATATTGCATATATTTTGATAATAAGCGAAGAAGTCATCCAGATTTCAAGAAAAGACTGAAAGAACGTAAGCAAATAGATCTACCTTTGATTTCATCAGGTTGGGCAAAGTTCCTTTTTGCTATAGAACGGGATTATTCTTTTTTTCAGTAATAAAAACATTACTGTCATACAGTTACTTATGAATTTTCACAAAGTCAAGTTAGCTAGAGTCCTCTCTGTGGAAAAATCTTGGATCCGCCCCAAGATACTTGTAAAACTTAAAAAGCATATGCTTTATGTAAAATGTCAACTGTGTGACCTTTAAGGTGAGCGCAGCCTTTTCAATTTTAATTAAGATAGCTACATCTCTTCAAACCGCAGGTGACTTTTGGTATGTCTAGACTCTGATATCACATGATCTTGTTAGCTGCAGATCTGTAGCTCTCCGAAAAAATATATATATTGATAGACCGGAGAGCTACAGAGCCACCCATTGAAAAAACTGTATATTTATTGCGCACAAAAAAAGTGCGCTCGATTCTTGATTAATTCTTCCAAATCCTTACCTCAATTGTAGAAAATGGAAGATTTCAAAAAATTCCTCTCTCCTCTATCAAGTTCTCTTAGTTCACATCTAAAAGCATGCTACCGTATGTTTGAAACCAAAATGACAGTATAAATAAGCATCACGATTGCAAATCAGGGCCAGGAGGATATATACAACAATTATGAGGAATGTTTTGTTGTGGAAAGAGTCAAAGAATATGTTAGGAACACACAGTTAGTAATATTTTGAGATTTCAGTTTTAAAAACATGGAGAAATAAATCGAGAACCGAGCGCATTTTTTTGTTCGCAATAAATATAGTTTTTTCTATTGAGCTCGCTTTGCAACTCTCCGGTCTATCAATATTTTTTTTTCGGAGAGCTACAGATCTGCAGCTAATGATCTTGTATGAAAGTTCAGTTATCAAGACAGTAGCTTGAACAGTGCTAATTCTTGTAGAGAACAATTCATCAACTAATTTCTGAAATTTCTAGTTACGAATATTTAGATTCTTATTCATTCATAAAATTTTATAGTTATATATCGTATAATATAAGTAGAAATAAGCTTCATTCCTTAAATAAAATTCCTTTTCTTCGTTGACATTTTTGATCGGAATATACGGTAAGCATTCACTTGATTTAGGATCAAATTGAATGTTACTGTTATATGAGACTTGTCATTCAGATAACAAATTTAAAAAAAAAAGAAGGTAGGATGGATTTCATTCTGTCCTAGCTGGCAAAGAAAATTCCTTCAAAACCCAAAGCTTTAAGGTTTTTCAGAACTTATTAAGGCCAAAATAAAAAATACTCCTGTTTCCTGTCACCCGACCTACCCTACATTTAACCCTCCGACCCTAAAAGTTTTTATTACATTTTCATTTTTTGGATAACTATTTTTCTAAAATACTGAAGTTGACTAATGATATTTACAGAATTAATACATCACAAGTGTACAGGTTACCGTTACTTTATAAATCTTGATTAACAAACTTGCTTTGAAACTGTTAACATATCATTTTCTTGTTATTACAGTTATTACATGCTATATGTTCTGCATTCATTAAATTTTGAAAATAAAATTTTTTCTCAAAATAAAATTTTTTCCCTACCTACTGACCCTAATTTTTTTGGTCAGGGGACAGGAAACAAGAGTATATTTTATTTTGGCCTAATATAATCAACTTGAAAAAATCCCAATGTACCAAATATTGCAAGATAAGTACTATATCATTCTGATCCATTGCATATATATTAGCCACACTAAGTGAAGAGAATACAGTAAGAGATAATAAGACTGCTGCTGGGTGCTATTTAAACATATTTAAAATACATTCTTTTTAATAACTGTTCATATATTAAGCAGAGTTGTCCCTAAGAGGAACCCAAACCCCTTTCTACTTTTTAATGCTCCCTGCTATTATAATTCTTAGGGACAATCCTGATAAGTGATCATTTATTTTATAAAATGTACCATCTTCCTTTGACTTTGCAGGTCGTAATCAATCAAGAGTGGGAAAGACATCAAAAGCTGCTGACATTCAGGTATGTCTTGCAAGAATAGTGCCATTGCAAAGGAAATCATGGACAATTTAACCCAACTGTGGTTTGATGGTTATTAATATATCTGTAATTATTTTAGTTGATGACAGATGTTTGTCAAAATTCAGTATAAATCTGATAACTTGTTAAATGAATTGTAGCTTCCAGACTTACAAAACCAGGAGGCTGTTCAGAAGTTTTTCTTTGAGCAAGTCCAACTTGGAGAGGAACTACTGGCAGCAGGTAAAAGTTATTGTTCCAACAAAGAAAGCTTTGTTTAAATACTTTACCAATCTTTTCTTTGTATATTAAATGTTTACCAAATTACCAATACATATATACTGGTACATTCCTTCTTTTGTTCTTTTTTATGTCAGAAGAAAGGAACAATTACAAGTAGAGCATTTCTACTGTTAGTTTGGACTATCATACTGTAAAGAGGGGTTTTTGGACTGGCCACAAATTTTATGGAATGGGGTCTACAAGTTACATTATACCATTATATGTGGCGGATGTAATTTTGGTGCATATTTTGAATACATTAATTGTTTTTATGTAATATAAATTGTCTTTGATCTGCATTGGTGAAAAAATGTGCTGAAGTATGAAAGTACAAATGTATATATGTACTTTTATTCATCAACAAACCACATACAAATCTCAAAAATCACCTAAATTGATTATTTTCTAGATAATTTTTGCAATAATCATTTGGTGAATAGTAATGGGCTAAAGCAGGCCAACATTGCTGGCATATCCTAATTTTGATGATAGGAAATGATGCATGCACCAATTAATAAACAGAGTGTAATTTACTCTATTTTCCCTATTACCACTTTTTCTGATGTGAAATAAACAGTATATGTCACTGTTTGACAGTTTTGTGTGATGCAAGTCATAATAAGCATGACACCACCTACTGCTAGTCCAAACTATTAATAGATTTTCTGTATAAAAGGTGTAAATTAGGATGACAAGTTTCAAATGCAAGAATTTGCAAAATCATCATATATTTATTTTACCATATAAACATCAACACTTTTTACTAAATGACAGGTGATATTGAGAATGCTGTAGAACACCTGAGTAATGCGGTACCTCTGTGTGGACAGCCACAGCAGCTTCTTCAGGTTCTGGAGCAGACTTTGCCACCTCAGGTGTTCCAACTCTTAATACAGAAACTACCAGAAGTCAACAAGGTAAAATAGCTCTTATATCTGTATAAAATCATATGAATATGGATCTCATGTTTTTGGTAATTATCCTTGCATTACATTGTATTATGAAATAGACCTGTCACCATAAGTTTCATAAAACACTCAAAGCATTGAAAGCTGTGTTACTGAAATAAAATACATCCAAAAAAACTTACATATTTTACAAAGATCTGTAAATAAAAAAAATCTGAAAGATGGCATTTAAAATGGAATCACAATGATAAAGTGGTTTTTGTTTTTCAGAAACTGAAAAGGCTTTTAAAAAAATGCACACTTACTTCAGGTTAATACTGAAATAAAACCTTCAATTTTCATTTTAACATGTAAATTTAAATCAAATTATGTATGAATTTTTTTGCATCAATAAAAGAATTCTCATACACAAATACTTTGTATATATATGTATAAAATTTAATCATAGTAAATATGCCGTGAATGTCGTTACGCGTTATGACCAGATTTTTTACTTTCCAAATCTGGTCATGACCAGATTTTTACATGCTGGAGGTTGGCCAAAGCATTGAAAGGAAATAAAATACCAAAAAAACCTTGACTGTTGTTGAAGATGATGTAGAGTATGGCCTCCTCATTTCAAATGTGGGAAGACAAACTGTTGTTGAAGATGAGAGAGAACAAAAGATATCAAATCCATTTTATGATTGACTGATAAACCATGAACACTCTTAACAGCACATGCCACAGACCAATACCTGATTTGTACATACATATGTCAGAGAGGATATTTGTGATATGCTTCTGAATTTTTATTAAAAGCTTAAATCATTAAACATAATTTAAAAAGACATTTTTTATCTTTTTAACTGGTAGCAAAATGAAATATGTATTTTTTCATTTTCACCACTTCCTCTAAAACACAGACAGGATTTTTAAAAAAATGTGTGTTAAAGGTCATGATGTAAATGAAACTTAAGAATGTGATTTAATTCAACTAAGTAATCAGTTATTTTCCCGAAATCTGTAAATTTTGTGACATTTTAACCTTGGACCATAAACACTCTTTTATGCCTTCAAATACTGTGATTTTTTTCTTTCAAAAATATTACATTAGTTCAAACAACTAGTATCTAACTTAAATGTTCATCAAATATATTTTTGTTTCTAGGTCCATTTCCATTCTGTTTGACAAAAAAAGGGTCATTGTCTATAAGTGGCATGCACTATAAGGCTAAATCACAATATCAAAAATCATAGTATATTTAGAAAGACCTTGTCACAGGTTATATGCATGTATAATATGAAATTCCTATTTTTTCCTTTCCAAAAGTTATAATCAAAGTAATGTTGAAAATTTTGAAAAGTAGGTCAAACATGAAGGTCACACAGGTTCAATTCATTTGCAAAGGTCTTGTCACAGCCTCACTGGTTATGAAAATATGAAAGACCTATCTCATCTCATTCAGAAGTTATGACAGGTAAAAGTTATTTTGACAGAAGGACAGACTGACAGAGAGATAGACAGATGGACAGGTGAATGAGATTTAATGTCTCCTGCTTGAAAGCAGGGAACAAAAAGATAAAATCTCAAGCCCAAAGATAATTGTCAAAAAATCCTAGAACATTGTTTTGTCCGATGCTGATAGTGGGGAGTATTTATTTTGGCCTGTCTGTCTGTGCACCCATTCGTCTTTATTTCTGTCTGTCTGTAACACTTTCCTCCACGTGATATCTCAAAAAGCCCTAGGGCATTTGCACTGAGATTTTGCACAACAACTTACCCATGGCCTAAGGAAGACCCCTAATGATTTTGAGGTCAAAAGGTCAATGTCAAGAGTTAAAAAATTAAGTCTGTTTTAATACTTATGTTTCTATAATGCTATATCTCAAGAAGTTTTTGAGCTTTTGCAATTATGAAATTTTATACAACTTTCCTTGGTCTAGTGAAGACCCCTGTTGAGTTTGAGGTCCAAAGGTCAAGGTCGTATATTCATATTTTCTGCCTGTGCATAAATTGTCATTTCCGAGTTTCAGTTTCAATTTTTTGCATTTAACATCTACATGTATATAATATAACTCCTTATGGCCCCAACTACCCTTTATTTGCTTCAGTACTTCATACATTTAAGAATTCTGCAAATCTGGGGAAAGGGGTTTTGACCCCCAATCTGAGCATCCTCATCTTTTTTCCTCATGTGACACAAATTCTCTGAATTTTACTTTCATGTATAACTTCATGATTTTTTGGGAAATTGTTTATTAAAAGACTAAGGAACTAAATGGACCCAATTCTGTTTGCAATTTCCCCCTAGAAAATATCATTACGCATTTAAAAATCAAAAACACTAAAAAAAGGTGTGTTCATCATTTTTACATGCAGGACCGAATTCAACAGGGTACGAACTAACAATACCCAATAGCTCAGGATAGATAACCTGTGACAGTAGCAAGTTTTTTTTTTTATCACTGTAAAAGTTTTTGAAGGGACACAGTATTATGCAAGGAATAGCTAGGGTTTTCCATTCTCCATTTCGTGTTTCATTAATAAGAAACAATATCGCAATTGCTTCATCAGGACTTAGACACCAACTTAATGCTAATGTTCCGAATTTCCTCAGTCCTGACAAGTCTGTGTACTGTTGTGTTCAATGTGTTGGTTATCAAAGCAGAAAGGGAAGAAACATAAGACAAAATCGCTGGCTTGATGAATGGAAGGAAGATGAATATGATGACATCATAGTTGACAAAGAAATATTTGAAGACGAAGGGAGGGCTCGCCATTATTTAATGCTGAAAGCAACAGGATTTTTGTGTGTGATTTTCTTCCTCAATATAGCCGATATTATTCGAATACAACTGAGAAATTCGGTACCCAGGAATGAAGAAAACAAAGGATTAACAGAATCTGTATATTGGAAGAATAAAGGCTTCACAGGATTCTTGCTGTTGTCCATTGCATTAGGTGATTAGACTCCCCTTACCAAAATACTCACCTTCTGGCAACATCTTCTGGCATTATTGGCGCAATATTGCAGCAACATTCTGGCAATACATTGCAGCAATATTGCGGTAATATAATTTTTCGTATGTAAATTAGATTTGGCATTTTTGCGGCAATATTGCCAGAAAAGTGTTGCAGCATATAATGCGCATTATATTGCAGCAACATAGGAATATCGTTTTTCGTATGTAAATTAAATTGCGGCAATGTTGCTGCAAAGCAATTGCAGTACATGTTTACATATGTTCATTTTACAGAAAACTTTTAAGTGGCATATTTTCGTTGGGCGATTCGAGGTTAGAGGGAAATTATTGGTTCATCAGATTTGATTTCGTGGATGAAAGAGTGATAAGTTTTATTTCTTTGAAGTTTTACACTTTGTTGTGAATGGATTTGTTTCTTCAATGAACCCCCACCCCCACAAGGTGCAAGTGAACTTTTCTGATTAAGATGTTGCTGCAAAGCATTATTGCAGTACATGTATACATATGTTCATTTTACAGAAAACTTTTAAGTGGCATATTTTCGTGTGTCGTGTGTTAACATTTGAACATTTTCAGCTTCTTCTCTTAAACCACTGAACCAATTTCAACCAAATTTGGTATACAGCATTTAGAAGGGGAACACAAATTGTGAATTTCATGGTCCCCAGATTTGATTTCTGAGGGGTGGGGCCAAAACCACTAAAATTAATGAAATCTTTAAAAATCTTCTTCTTTATGAAAGAGCATGATACCAAAAGTTTTATTTCTTTGATTATATAGTGAAAATTTACACTTTGTTGGGAATGGATTTGTCTCAAAAATTGTGAATTTTTGGCCCCAGGGTCAGGGGTTCTGGTGTAACCTATAGATTACATAGTGAAAATGCATTATTTCATCTTCTTCTCTGCTCCCCCCACAAGGTGCAAGTGAGCTTTTCTGATCAAGATATTGAAAATCATTATTTCTTTGAAAATCTTCTTCTTGTCCTGGGTATTAAATAAACTAACTAAGCACATAGTTATCCCAATCAAGAGTTTCCAGATTTGTGAAATTCATCGGCTCCACATAAACTATATGGAGCGGAACTAAGCACATAGTTATGATGAGCAAGAGTGCCTCTTCAGATTTGTGAATTTTATGGCCCCAGGGTCAACTCTTGATTATATAGTGAAAATGCATTATATTTTTGAAAAGTATTAAATAAACTAACTAAGCACATATTTATGATAAGCAAGAGTTTCTCTTCCAAAATTGTGTATTTTATGGCCCCAGGGGTTCTGGTGAGGAGTAGATTATACATGAAAATACATTATTTCCTTTTCAGCAATGATGAGCAAGAGTGCCTCTTCCAAAAATTGTGAATTTTATGGCCCCAGGGTCAGGGGTTCTGCTTTCTATTGATTATATTGAAAATGCAATGCTGACTGATGTTTTTCATATTTGTGAATTGATAGGCCATTATTTTAAGATTTCGCATCTGGCAAATACATTTATCTTTATATATATTCTCTTTTCCCATGGGTCAGTGGGTGATCATGACAAAGAGCACAAGGTGGTTAATAATTTGACCAAAATTGTAAAAGTGAATTTCATGGCCTCCGGTTTAAAACACGTACCAAATATAATTGTTTGAAAGTTGTTACACAATACTCAGGTGACCTACCTAAGGCCCGTGGGCCTCTTGTCTTTATGATGCTTACTCCTTTGTTGTAAAGGTGTTTTATGTTTGCTCTGTTCCTGTTTTATATTGTTTTATTGGACATTTGAGCTTGATTACTACCATATTCATTATTTCCATTTTATATAACTTTTCACATTTTCACTTTCTGATCCTCCACAACCACTGGTTTTTTGAGGTCCTAATATATGGATTCAAGTTGCTTCAAAACATATGACCCCTGAGGGTAGACCCATACCAGAGTTTTGGTAGCTAAAGAGATCAAAGATCAAACATGTTGATACCGAAAGAATTAGGTCTTGTGAAAAGAAATATATGTAGATGTGCACATGTAAAATATGTAAGCTCTAGCTCCAATCAATCGAAAGGTACTGTATAGGCAAGGTCAAAGTTTATGTAGACAAATAGACAGACATATGGACAGAGTATTAAAAATATATGCCCCCAAATCTTCAATAATTATTATAAGGGCATACAATTGCAAGTTAGATTGAAGAAGAAACACATATGACAATTAATTAAGGTCTTCTCACAAAGAAAACACTTGAAATATGAATGATCAAGAGCCAATCCATCTTCGCTAGCCAAGGGTTTCCAAACCAAAATATTCTGGTTTGGAAACCCTTGGCTAGCAAAGATGGCTCCAACCAAACCAAAGAAATGAGTACTAAAGATTATCTTCGATTAATGGGAAATAAAAGTTGCGAGAAGAAACATTGATACAAAAATTAATCCTTGTCACAAGCTAAAAACCATTTTTTTCATTTCAGCTACAATAATTCCAAGTGGGATTTGTCGAATCTGCGACAGATGTGTGCGGAGTTTGTGGCTTTTAAAGGGCGGTAAAATGGTGCGAGTCCGAACATTCGCCCCTTTCTTCATGACAACTACTCACGAAGTGCCTGTAACAAATATTTCGGGACTAAATGCAAGAGCAGGACAAAATTATGTGTCATTTCAACTGAAGAGGAAAGACAATAAAATAGTAAACCTTTCAATGTCCAACCTGACTGGGAATTTTAAAGAACCCTCATTATACGATCATTATGTAGGAAGATACCGGGATTTGAAGTCTTCATGAACTTTAATCTTGTACGAATAAAGTGTTATGATTGAATTTAAAACTTTTTTTTTTGTTTTACTATACATGTAGATCGGAATTTGTCAACAAATAAAACTTAAAGAGGACTGTGAGCACCGAGCTCATAAAATGACACCTGGGCCACCCAATGCTACATGAGTACAATGACCAAATTCATTTTTTGCTATATAGAAAACTTCAACCTTACCATTTGTGCAATTGGAACACTGAATAGGAGATGAAAAATTGCACTATATAAGGGATTTTTTTTGGCCAGCACCTACTGCAACACAGGACCTCAGTTTATACAGTCTCATTCGAAGGACCACTGTGTAGTAAAAATGTATGAAAATTTTTGATAAATAATAGGAGGATAAGGGATGGTAGGCACTCCTATGTGTCAAGGATGGACACCTCCATCAATATATGCCCCCACTTTTCAAGGGGGTGGTATATTGATACGTTTTTCAGTGGCATGACCATATGAAAATGTGGATGTACTGAATAGTTTTTAATTCAGATTCAAGCTAATTTTTTTTGAAAAGTGGGAGGGTATACTAGAGATGTCCATTTGTCTGTACATTTGTCAGATCCGTCCATTACGCTTTGGGGAAATTTTATATGCAACTCCTCTTAGACCACTGAATGAAAAAAGACTTTCACAGAATCTTTGTTATATGGTCCCATTGTATATTTTACTTTTTGATTTGACACATATTTTGGGTTTCCCATATGGATACTGCCTTCCTAAAATATTTCAGGGTACCCATCTCTTATCCACAACTCCTCCTATACCACTGAATTTGGTTTAATGATATTTTCATAGATTCTTTATAACATAACGTGTGTCCAATTTTACTTTTTGATCCAACTCTTATTTGGGTCTCCCACCAAAACATGGACTTTGCCTTTATAAACATATGGGAGAAATTTAAGTGCTCACAGTACTTTTTTTTGTGGTGCTTATACATGTATGTATAGATTTGTTTTATCATTTAAAGGTTGCCTTTGCAGCTTGGTTGATTCATTGTATACAATAAAATTCATAATTTCTACCTATCCCCCCAAATGTGTGAAAAGACTTTTATGAATTAATGTCTTTCTTAAGTAGTATATAAGGCAAAGCTCAATTCCTTGAAAGACTCAAGTTAAAATAATTCCCTGCAAAATGTTAGTAAATATAAATAAACTAGATACGATCTCGTTGCGAGCAACGAGAGGTCTTCCGTCCGATTCAGGAAAAAAAAAAACCTCGAAAATCGAGCTGAAAAGTGATAAAAAAAAAATTGCCATAAAGAGGATTGAATCCAGGTCGCCAGCGTGAAAATCCAATGCGCTTTTTTCTCTTTTATTCCCAACGCGCTTAAATTACGCTACTGGGTCAACTGCTCAGAATGTTTTTGTATATACTTCTTCAACAATAAACCTGTCTAAGAACTTTGAAAGGCGCGCCACTATCCATAATTTCGCGCCAAACGCCACGAGTAAATCTTCGCGCCTTTTCTTTGGAATGTTCCATTAAATAGGTGTGACAGCTTCAATGAAATTAAGAAAAAAAGAATGTTCTTATAGCCTAAATTTCGAGGTTTAGACAGTATATTTAACACATTGTACATATTCTATATCGTATATAGGTAAGTAACACTAAAGACGTGAAATAGTTATCATTTTTAACTATTTTAAATTTCCGTTTATCCCCAAAGTGAACTATCCCGATTAGTTACACTTTACTGAAAAGGTAGAAATGGTTGGCTGAAAAACCTGAAATGTCTCGCCCTACGACGATCAAGGAACCAGATACCATTTATGTTCAGTAGTCTAAGTTGTTTGTCTAAGAATTATAAAAGGCTGGCCACTATTCATAATTTCGCACCAAACGCCACGAGTAAATATTCTCGCCTTTTCTTTGGATTGATCTATTAAAAAGGTGTGATAGCTTCAATGAAATTAAATAAATAAATAAATCGTTTTTATCGCCTTTATTTTATTTCGACATTAAGAAGGTATATTTAACACATTGTACACATTACATATCGTATCTAGCCAAGTTACACTAAAGCAGTGAAACGGAATAAAGTTTCAAGATTGACCCTGAATTGCAACATACTACTTCGTGAAAGTCCAAGTAGTTTTCTTACATTTCATGTATCCTTATGTCAGAATGATTTAATCAAACGCTCAGCTGCCTCCATAAACCCCTACTTGCGAAATGGCGGAGTCAACAGAGACAGCCGCCATCTTGGGCCCGCTTCAGATTTTCAAATATTAATATCTAGCCTTCAGATTAACCAATATTCAAACAACTTATATAGTAAGCATATATAGAAGGGTCTCTATTAATATTCCAAAAATCAATAATATATAATGGAAAACAAAAAAGTTAGAAAATAAGCTTTTTTCAATTCGCATCTCCTAACGACAGGAAGTATTGACAACGAACAAAAGGTCGCGTCCTGGATAGTATCTATCACGATCTATAATCCCTGAAAGTTTCACTTTGATATCTTTTACCGTTCTTGAGATTAACTGCAGACAAAATTGCATTTTAAAATCAGAAAATTGTCCGTAACTTGGCACCAGAAAAAAATTTCCAAAAAATCTCTCGGATAAAATAACTTCAGATAACAACACATTGTTCCTGCAAATTTCATGAAAATGTTAGTAAATATAATAATAATAATAATAATAAATAAATAAATTAATTATGCTAACTTACATTGTAAGAGTAAAAACATATGATAATTTTATAAATTTTATTTTTTTTTTCTCTTTAAGTTCTGTTAGCACATGTAATTCATGTTTTACAGAAGTAAACTATAATGTCAATCTGATTAAAATCACAATCTGATTAAAATCAGATTTTTTGATATGCTCACACAAGGATCTGGAGAAACCTCATTCAGGGTCATCACCTGGTGACCTTTCATTTATCCAATCAAACATTCACTTCAATTAGAAGTACACTGCATCTAAGAATTCAGTTACAGAAGTGAAAGCCATGATGATACCATGTTTAGCAATCATGTGTGAGCGAATCAAAGGATTTGATCTTCATCAGATTGACTTGAGAATTATCATATACAACTGAGGCAAGTCTTATAAATATATCAATATTTTACAGATCTATTAACACACCTTAGTACATCTTGCTGAAAATAAGTAGATCACACTCTTCCAAAAATACACACTAAAGTAAACTAAATATCACTTATAAAGGTGCTTACTGTCTTAAATGATTACAGAGAGACAGACTGACAAATCACGTAAGTGCTTCTACAAAACCAAAGTGCAGAAGAACAAAGACAGAGCATCACTTTGGCATTAATTATCAAAACACTGGGAATGTAAAAAAAAAAAAATCTAAAATCAATATGTATTCAGATATCACAGTAACAGATGCATAATGTTTATTACTAGTAGTAAAAAAATATGATATGATCACAAACACACGAGTTAAGCAGTTAACAGTAAATAGAACAATCTCTAAATTTAATAAAAATATTATATCAAAAATCCACAAAAAAGCTTAATCTTAAACAGAATGTAGAAAAACATGAAATTAATGTTCATCATCTCCCTGTTTATTCTTTATATAAAATGCTGATTTATTTAAATGCTTATGATTTCCCAAAACAAATTATGTAGATTAAATTGCACATAGTTTTAACATTTTTGCAAGGCAAAATGACCAGAGATGGCTATGTAAATCTTAAAGGAATAAAAAGTAATTTATTCCAGTTAGAGTTATCTCTCTTGTCAGAGGAATGATGAACCTTAAAATTGTATAGTATTCTTCAGACTATTTAAGCTATTAGTAACTGCAAACAAAAATTTAATAACATCATGACAAATAAAATATTGTGTTAGAATAAACTCATGCAACCTTATTAATCATGAGTGCAGATCTATAGAAATAACAAATTTTTTATAATGAAAAAAAGAGGTGAACAAGGAGTTTGTTTTTCCAGCAACAAAAGGGAGTGATTTTCCGTTTTTTAATAAATAAATTCTCTGAATATACTTTCATACTTTTTATGCACAGAAAATATCATATCTGAGTCAGTAATATACATGTACATAAATATTAAAAAAAAAAATCTATCGGTATGTTGTCTAATTTACATGAGCATGTACTCCCTTGAAGTTCAATAAGATATACATGTATGACAATAATATCCCAAATTATTTAAATCTCTTACGGTATCTATTTTTAAGAAATTCTAATCTTGCTTCACAAAAATAGATTTGAATGCATTATTTTTAGGATCTGACTATATATTCATTTTTTTCTATATATTTGTTGTGTGGTATGTGAAGATTGCGGTCTAAATTTTGTAACGGCTTGATCACCTGGGTAACATATCTTCTAGGTTGGCGACAGTGTAAGCCACAACGGTCCACAGAGCTGTACAGATATTCATCTCCACAGGGTCCTGTACTGTCATAGTGTCACCTGTATAAAAATTGAGATTAAAAACAAGCATAAAAATGAGACAAATAAAGGAGTCCATAAAATTTTATAGGTTGACACCTTACTTTGTAAACTGATGGGCTGTATTGCCGAAATTTATATTCTGAATAAACTTCAGATTGAATATTTTTGCACTGTTGTTTTGTGGTACCTCTAAGAAGACAAGAATAAAATTTTTGTGAGCACGCAGTTTTTGCATTTTTACGTAAAAATTAAAAATGTCACAAATAAAAAAGATTTTATTAAAGTATCTTTCTTTTTTTTTTTTAATACAATCAACACCTTCTAATAAGTTAGTAATATTCAAAAGTTTCCATGAAATGGTTGTAGCTGAAGATGGATTACTCTATATGTCTTCCTTATAATACTATACAGCATCTATGTTCATAATTTGAGAACACCTTAGTAAAAATTTGTGTCACATACAACAAAAGATTTAATGGACATCCAGAAAGATGAACAGCTAGACAATACCATAAAATTTCTGCAGGGTTCATATTTCTGAGTCCTAATAATTACCATTTGAATGATGAAATTTGAAGTATTTATTATCATCTGTTGCTATACTGGCCCCGGGAACTCCTGCATTTATCCACTCAGCAATGTCCTCCCCACCCCCATTAGGCAGGAGGGGGATAGATCTAACTTTCTGAAGTGGTTCAATGATTTTTTTCATAATGGACTTTGCAGCTGAATTGCCTGTGAAAAAAAAGAAGACAATTAAATTTATCTAACATAGTAATCAAAATGCAAAAGTTGCTTTGTCAAACATCATCGTTGTCTTATAATAATTTAAACTGTCTGGTTAAGTAGCATAAAGAGTTCCTCCTTAACAATCTTTTAAAAAAAAAATGCTAAATTGCTCTACAAACCATTGAACTGAAATCCAAGTGGCATAAATGTTCCCCCATCTGACTCCATCACAAGGTCAAAATTACTGACATTTCCCTACAACGTCATTACAATGTAAAATTACTTACATTACTCTACAATAGGTCATTACTGACATTACCATATAACAGCCCAGATTTGATTTTTTTTAAAGATTTTATTTCATTTTATTTTATTGTAAAAATGTGATCCCTGATGTGAACACAATCTTGAAACAACAGGTTTCTACATAAAAATTTGTTTAAAAAACTCCGATAATAAAAGGAGGGCATATTGCTTTGCTGCTGTCTGTTGTGCGGTCTGTCTGTCGGTCCACCATCAGTTTCTGTCCATTTTCTTAACAGTGGTTGCACATATTGAAATGAAATTTATTATACAGATTTATCAGATGAATATCTGTTTTGGGTACGATCGGGTCATTTTGGACAGAGTTATGCCCCTTGGAAATTACAATTATTTGCAGTTTCCGTTCATTTTCTTTGCAGAAGTGGCACATATTGAAATAAAATTTGGTATACAAATTTATCATAAGAATATTTAAGTGAAATTCTGTTTTTGAATTGATCGAGCTATTTTTGACAGAGTTATGCCCCTTGGACATCAAAAAAATTTCCAGCGATTGGGAGGAAGGCTGCACAAGTGTTTTACAAACATCTCTTGTTTAAGCATTATTTTGTCCCTCTGACTCAGGTGAGCTAATACTTGTACATGTCATTGAATACAGTAATTGAGAAATTGATTGCTAATCAAAATAATTCCATATTTATGAACTTTAAAAAATCATTTTTGCTTGCCTTGTGTTTGTTGTAGTAAGCTTGGGCACCAAACCCTCCTTCCTCCTGAAATACAAATAAGGCGATTCTTCTGACAATTTCTTTTACAAGTCATAATAAAGATTTTAGAATGATATTGAAAATGTGAACATTTTGAACAATTTCACTTGAAATACCTCAGCTGTCCACATGACCATTCTAATGGTACGCTTTGGCTGCAGTCCTAGCTGTCTGATAATGGATAAAGCCTACAGTAAAGAAAGTCAGTAAGTTAATGTTCCTAAGTGAATGTCTAATGAGAGATCTACGATTTATTTTTCCTTGATGATTTTACTTTCTTCATTAAATCTGGCCCACTGTATTCAGGAGACTCACCTGCCATGAAATAAATGCCCCACCTCCATCATCCATGGCACCTTGACCTACATCCCAGCTGTCCAGGTGACCACTCACCAACACAACCTGAATACAACAGGTAGAGGTGTATTATTGAAGAAACGTGAATTTTTTACATTGTAGATCAATCTTTTTTATACAAAAGGTGAACTTCTATACATTATAGATTGATATTATTTTTATACATGTAAAACGTAAAATTTTTACCAAAGTTTGATATTTTAATTTTTTCTTTAAAAAAAAACACTCAACAACACTCATTTGAGTAACATTTTGTTTTCTAATGAAGAGCCTTCCTTTATTCCTAGTTTAGTTCCATTTGTAAAAATTGAACCTCATTTGTGGCTACATTACCTGATTCTGAGGCTATGTCTGCAACTGATGTGAATCAACAATATTTCATGGTAAGAGCAAGTAGAAATTAAAACTTATATAGAAAATACAATTTCAAAACCTTAACTACATTTAAAAGGCATATCCTAGCTGTTTTGTAGAGGACACTATCCTTCACATACTGTAAACCCACTTTTATTTGCATGCGAGAAGTCATCACAAATATTTCTCGCCATGAACCCTTCCTTAAAGTCTCTGTGTCAATTAACAGCTGATCCAAGGCTTGATTGCAAAAATCAATTGTCCCAAACTAGTTTTCGCCTGGTAAATTGCAAAATAAAGTTGTCGCGAATAAAAGTTGGTTTACAGTATTTACTTCCTTAGCTTTAGAATGACCTCCTCATCTTCAGATTTGGACACAATTACCTGATGAGACACTGTTACCTGATTCTTCAAGAGGAAAGAACTCTTCCATTATATCCCTTTGTTAATCTCTACACCATTACTGTAGATTCCTTATTTTTCGTGTCTGAGTACTTATTATCGCGAGAACGTTAAATAGTATGGACGCTTGATCAATAGAATTTACATGGATTTCAGCAACATAAAAATAAAAGCGAGTAATTTTATTTCGCGAGTGTTGCTTCTCACGAAATTACGCTATAATTAATTCCTCGCGCATAATTAGGAATCTACAGTAGTATATTGCCTAATATAGCATAACAGTCCATATAGAATCCTATCTGCATGAGTTCAATACGTCAAGCACTGTACCTGCTCAGGATATTTGGATCCTTTAATTTCTGCCACAGTGTTTCTTGACATTGCAGGAGGTAGATTCTTCGCCTGCATTTTCAATGTCACTCGTATTTTATTCCCTTCGACAACATACAATAAGGAAATTAAAAAGAAATTGTTCTAGTTTACCTCTGTAACATACTATTCATACACTTTATATTCATAATGACATCTTGCAAGATACTCCATACTGATAAAATATCATTAACATACTAAAAGTACACTAGATATATACTAGTTTTTAAAAATATTTTTAAAAGTTTTAATAAATTTTTTTTATCAGATAATTCATTCCGCAACCACTGGAGTAAGAAAATTTATCAATTCCACTTATAGATTTATACCTCATTATAGATATCTATAATTATACTGTGAAATCACTACAATAACTTTCATTGGGGAGAGGGTTGTTCAAACTCATATCCTCTACAAAATTTTAAAATTATCAAACTGCAGTATCATGATTCTCTTCAACCGTACTTGTAAAATCAAACCCAAGTGAATGATTTTTTTTCATCAAAACACAAACATTTGACCCGATGAAATTTAGTTTTTCACTGTATATCTCTCCAACAGAGCAAAAAATAAGAAAGAGTATGAATCCTAGAGCTGCTATCATTTCATAACTATAATGCTTGCTTTAACAAGACGTGCTTGTGAAACACTATGCGCCTGATGGCAACAAATTTAAAAACATATTTTTAGCATAAAGGTCACAGTGAAGGTCACAAGGTCATTGAACTTGGTGTCATTTGAAAGATCTTAATTAGTGAAGTATGCATACCAAATATGAAGTTTCTATCTTTCATGGCTCAAAAGTTATGGTGAAGGTTCAAAAAAAGCTATTTTTAGCATATGACACAGTGAAGGTCACAAGGTCATTCACCTTGATGTCATGTAAAAGGGCTTTATTAGTGGAGTATGCATGCCAAATATTAAGTCTCTACCTTTCATCGTTCAATAGTTATGGCGAAGGTTAAAGTTTGCCATCAGAAAAGCTATATTTAGCGTATAGGCCACAGTCAAGGTCACAAGGTCATTGACCATGGTGTCTTTTAAAAAAGCTTAATAAGTGTTGTTTTGTATATCAAATATGAAGTCTCTATATTTATGGTTCAAAAGTTATGGCAAAGGTTAAATTTTGCAAAAAACTCTATTTTTAGCTCATAGGTCACAGTCAAGGTCACAAGGTCATTGACCTTGGTGTCATTTGAAAGAGCTTTATTAGTGGAGTATGCATACAAAATATAAAGTCTCTATCATTCATAGTTCAAAAGTTAAGGCGAAGGTTAAAGTTTGTAGATAAACAGACAGACAGACAGGACAAAAACAATATACGCTTTGGATCTTTCAATCCGGGCGCATAATTACCTCGTTCTTGCATGCGTTGCATCATTTCAGCATCTTCTATTGTGATACAGGCAGTGGGAATCTTTTTTACATTGTCATCATAATCCTAAATAAAGAAATCCTTTTATATACATGTATAAGTTAAAATGGTCTAAAGATCAAGCTGTACATGAATTTCAAGAATTTATTTAGTACCCAGTTTGAGAAGTTTACGAAAAAAAGGGTCTCAGTAATATCTTGAGTATCTGGTACATCGGCTTCAACCTATAGGAGTGTATATTGAGATGGAGGGGGGGGGGAATACCTAAGTATATTACCTGCCACCCTGTGTGGGGAGAGTATATGGAGAAGGGGGTGACACTTCTAATGAGGGAGGCTACACCCCCCACCTTGGCTGCCTCCACTGCCCCTGCTTGTCTGTATTTTACTGTTACTCCATAATTCACAAATTTCTGATTGTACACTATTATTTTTCCTTTGGCCTGGAAAATAAAGATGAATTGGGTTCCATATTTTTGTAATAAAACTTCTTTATTACTAACAAGGATATGGTTCTTGTAGTATTTTATTTTATAAAGAACTCTGACATAATGATAATATGTTGCCCTTAGCATAAAATTCAGTGCTTTGAAATTGAGTTAACTATGATACATAAGATGTGTCTCTAAGTAGATCACTTTGAACTTTGGAACTTTATCATCTAAAAACATAAATTCCTCGGGTACCCTTTGAAGTTAAGTTGCAAAAAGAAACTACACAAATTTTACCCCACCTGACTGGCCTTTGCCTTCAGATCATCAAATGAGGTCACAACCAGCACATCAGCTGTGATGCCATCTTCTGGGGTTCCTATACTGCTCCCTAGTCCCAGTATGGCCATCGGATGATACCGTGGGGACAGCATCACGGCCGATTCCTCACCTCGCACCCAATGAGGCACCTGAAAATGAAAAGTATCTTCTTTTTTTTTCAAAAAATGTGTAAACAAATAGGCCTAATCCCTAATCCATGATGTTATTTGTACACTCAGGAAACAATTTCATAATCCAACTTTGTTAGTCAGATCATTTTGTAACAAGCAGAGCAAAGTATATAGCTTTTTCAGAATTAATGAAGTTTTCTGCAGATGTTTCCTTATAATAAAAACTACAATTCAAACAATACAATTAATGCTTTTAAAAGCTGATTGACTTCATGAAAATCAATACAATTTGATTAACAATGTAGCATATTAAATAAGCAATGTTTTCCTCCACCTACTTGTGCAGCCTCAGTGTGAACATTGTCTAATCCATCTTCCTTCAATTTTGAGACCATGTAATCTATAAACAAATTTTAAGTCAAAAATGCATTATCCTAACAAACTTTTATTAGCAATCATTAATAATCATAGATGTTTTTATGATATTATTTTCAGATTATATCACTGGTCTATCAAAGATGCACTGCAACACTGTCTTGTACAAAATGGGTTACAAAGAAAGACATCATTTTGGTTAACACTGTCTTGTGTAAAATTGGTTACAACAAAAGACATCATTTTGGTTAAAATTAACAAGGTGTGAATAATATATACCATGAACTTTTATGCATCTGAAGTATTTCCATACAATCTAAATTTCAAGTTACCGGTATTTGTACTAAATATACATGTCTTAAAACTGCTTTTACCCAATGTAGAATTCTAAGAAGTGCTTGAAAAATTTCAAGAATTGAAGATTAAAATTTTTTTCAATTATAAGAAATATCCTTGATGAATATTACCAATAGCATTTTCCAGATTTTGAGACCCAGCTATCCGAGAACCAAATGTATCTGTGAACTCCGCAAGTCTGTTGTAGGACTGATTTTGTGCAGGTCCATACATAGCATGATAAATGATCCTTTCAGCATCACCTAAAAAATTTAATTCTTTAGAATTCCCATGATAAAAAAAATTATTACAGAGAGAATAAATTGACACAAAGGCTGCAAAGTCTTAACTAATAGTTGACAAGCATATCAATTAAGTTACTATTATGAGCTTCTATATCTGCCAAAGTCCGTGAAGATATCCACTGCAGGCGGGTGTCACTAACAGGTATACCCTGGCATGTTAATAGGAATCCTACAATTATAATAAAAGCATATTAATTCTTAAGATAAAAGATTAAGATGGCTGATGCTATATTTGACTAGACCCTAGAACTTGGCAGAGAATAGAAGACATCCAAGAATTTCACTCAAAGCCAGAAAACTGTCTCCATTCTCACAGACTTTGTCATGCATTTGATGAGCCCTCAAACTTTGGTCATAGACAGTGGCGGATCCAGAAATTTTTAAAAGGGGGGGCCCGACCAGTTCTAGGTCAGGGTAGGGGCCCGAAGCCACACCCAAAAACAATGATTTATTAAATATTGTGTATTTTTTGGACTCAAAACTTTATATCAATATTAAATCCGCCAGTGATAGAGCCTAGCTTCTATACTTGCTTACTTTCCAGAAATATCAGTAAATATGTTTACAGTATGTACAAAGCCTTGGTAATTTGTTGAAAAGTTAGGGAGGGGGAAGCATGAATTTAATCAATCCATGTGCTTCGATCTCCACAATCAAAAAGTGATGCACTTGTTATCTATTTTTGTAACATAACAGAATGCAAACAAGTAGTGAAAATGTTCTAAATATAATTAATTAACATGTACAAGATACAAGATATATTTTATTTACCAATCAAGGGCCCCGAGGGGCATTTCAACATAATAAATGTACAATTTAAAGATTTTCTCCTTTTTTTATAACAATATAATTAATTTTTTTTTTTAACAGTTATCAGTGGTTATATAAATGACCAAGTTACATTATATTGTTCTCAGTGTCACTGATCACACTGTACATAATACAAGTGTCCAGAAGAATGTCAATGATCATAAAACAATGCAAAAATGTGATGCTATACATGTATAAATTTAAATGGCTTAGCATGCATAAACATGATGACAGAGTCCATGTATACTAGTCAAAATTTCTAAGTCCCCGGGCAAGTTTTTGCTTTACACCCCTCTTATATTAAATTATTTTAACAGTATAATTAAATAAGTATACAGGATAATAAAGTAGCAAAATAATTTTTCTTACTTAATTTATTTTTATTGAAGCGCTATAACACAATATGCAGAAAAGTTAAGGCACCCTTGAATTAAAAATTCACAACGTTAAATACTGCATTATTCTCCATTCAAACGAATTCACAGCAAGATTACCGTTCCTCAAAGAGTTCACAATATTTAAGAAAAATTCTTTTATTGAATGTTTTTCCATGTGGAGACTATAGGTCGTCCTCTAGTTCCACTAGATTCTGCTGCTGGAAAAGCTGTCTTAAGGTAGGATTCTTCTCTGGTTTCTGACTAGATGGAATATTCAAAGTACATTTGTTGATTTGTCTTATATATTTAGATGTAAGAGATTTTAAAGACCATATTTTTCTTTCCTCATCACAATTATACAAATTTAAATAGAAATGGTAAACTGCGTTTGAAAACTAGCAGGGACTATATTTTTGGCGGAATGGTGGCGTATGAAAATATCTTCTTTTCTGCCTTTCAAAATTATCATAGAACATTGAATTTGGTTATAATTTTTACGCAAGAAAAGACTAGACAAAATTTTCAAATGTAAGTTAAATTAATAATAAGGGACTAAAGTTTCAAAATATATCAAATAAATAAGATTTTCCACACATACTAGAACTATGTTGGCTTTTAAATGCTTCAAATCGAAGTACAGATGTGAGCCAAAAATCCATAAAAAGTGTTATTTTTCTCAAAGTAAACGATCAAAACTTTTATTTTTTGTATCATTTTGTACCTTTATGTGACAACTTTACTATATGTAAAAATTGGAAAAAGTTAAATATAGGAAGCATATAAAAATAACTAATAAATCCTTAAAATTTAAGTAAAGTAGAGGCAATTCGGATTAGCAAATATCCATTTTATTTAAATTATCCATGTCGATTTGGTAATATCATCTTATAGGACCTGTATGGTAGTATCTTTTTATGCAAAAAGAAAAACATTCAATCTTTTGAATTACAAGTAGGGATAGCATGATTGGAAACAGTACTTTTTTATTCTCAATGTCCAGGAAATAGGTAATGACCTTGACCTGACCTTGCCTCTAATATTAAACGGTCAAATTTAATCTCACTGATACCATCACTTAGTGATATTGTCCTCTTGATTCTGTGAAAATTTCATTAATTTTTAAATACAAGAAATGTGAGAAGAATCCTACCTTAAACTCCGGTTTATCTTCTTCCATGCATGCTCTTATTAGGATTGAGATTCGGATGACAAGGGGGTTTATCGAAATTGTGACTGTGCCTTATCAACAAAAGTTACATGTTTCCTTACATGTATTCCCCACTCCTCCAGTTCGACATTGAGGGGAGGACACTTCCGCTTCCGGTTCCATTGATTTTTCCGGATAAACTGTAGGATGATTTTGTGGTGTTTGTTGAAAATCTAGCGATTTGTAACGATTAAAAGAAATTCAGGTATGCTTTGTAGATTTTTCTGGCAGTAATTAAAAAACTTTTAAGTAAAACAAAGTCATACAGTGAAAGAAAACAGAATTTTCGTTAACTACGATCAGCTTGGGGCATTTCAACTTCACTTGCACATTGTTGTGTGGACAGACACCGCATTTTATTCAAGCTTTTTTCTGTTTTTCGTTATCAATTAAAGATGGAGAACACATGGAAGTAAAAAATATAATGAATACACCCGAAAAACATATGGAACTCGAACTTTATGCTTTTTAACAAAAACGGTCACGGTCGAGTAATTACACATTCGATTACATTTTTTTGGGCTTTGACAGGTAAGTATTACAAATTAAAGGCAAATTTGTTAGCAACTAGTAAATTGAAGTTCAGGGTTTTGGAATTTTTGAAAAAATAAAAGTGGGGACTTTGAAATTTTGACAAGTATATATACATTGGTTCTTTTACCATTTTCAGAAATAAAGTACATGTTGTAGGCTATAAAACCTCAAAAGACAAGTTTGCTGTGAACAGAGTGTTTGTTTCTATAATACAGATGCAATGCTTTAAATTAATTACCTGCAAGCAGTATCGGGATAACAAAACGCATCTTTATTTTCACTGTACTGACAGGAAAACAAACATCACGTGCTACTTTCACTTTGTATGGGTTATTCTAATTCCCGCGAAATTGAAAAAGGTAAATAAAGGCAAATAAAATCTTTTAATTAATAATTTAAAGGTATTGTTAATTTTATTATTACTCTTATCATAAAGTGTGTTAAGAATAACTTTCTGTTTATTGTTTTATTTATTTATTATTTTTTAATTATGATGTAAACAGGCATGACGCACAGTTTAAGGGGGATGTACGGCCACCTTTAGTGCTGTGAGAACAAAATGTAAACATTTCTTCAAATGGCTAAAATACATGATATTTTGATCAAATTTTAAGTCCTTATGATAAAAATACAATAAATATTCATAACTGAATGCACGTTGTGCATATATAATCTATACTTTTGCAGAAAAATGCTTTTGATATGCTCCTTAGAACTGCGCAGCTACAGAATTCAGCAGAGCCTTAAAAAATCCAAAAAAATATGCAAACTGTGCATCAATGTTCTCTCTACAACCATTTGTTGAGAAAATGTCTAAATTTTGCACTTTTAAATGATAATTTCAAGTTCAAAACAAGGTATCGTTGTCTTCAAAAAGAGTGTAAAGAACCATGAAAGTAGTTCATGGATAGCAGCACGTGGTCTATTTTTAGCACAAAATTTTGTTTTTCAGAACTCTTCTTAATATGGAGGGACATAACAATCTTTAAATGTACAAGAGAATTACAGTTGCAAAATATTTCAAATAGTATGAACACTTTTAAAAGAGGAAATGTGTTATAGTATGGCTCGAAGTATCTTATTTAGTATTATTATCGAACAGTTGTTAAATAATGTACTTATTGATATCAAAGAAAAAATCTTAAACTCTTTGATTCCAGGTAAGGAAAAATGAGCACCATCAAAGTTAAGAATTAAAAGTTTGTAAGTTTGCCACACATACATGTAACTTATAATATATATCAAAATTTTAATTATCACCAATGAAACACAAAGAAATTAAACACATAAAATCGATATGAATGACCTTGATTTAGTACCTACTAGTACAAGGGGTGATCAAAAAGTTCGCGAACTGTATCTCTATATCTACAAAACCACAATTCAGATTTAAGAAACAAATTTGGTGCACACATAGCCAAACACAAATTCTATAAAATAGCATATGCTGAATAAAGTTTTGCTCATAATGACGTCATTATGCAGGTACTTGTGACGAAAAATGGTTGCCTCAGTGGAACTCGTTTAAGAAACGACTAAAATATTTATGGTATATCTTAAAAATGCCTTTGAAGTAGCATATAAGAATTTGTTCATAGTTTATTAAGACAAATAACTTCCTACAAATTCAATCAATTATTGGATAGATCGTTTAAGTGAAGGAAAGCAGATGGTTAAATATGATACTTGTTATATTGCCCAGTGATATATTAGCAAGTTTGAAAAGGGATGTGTTTTTAATTAAGCAATATGCTATCAAAGACCTCCAATTTACACTTTGAAAAATACTTGAATATTTCAACAATAATATAACTATCAAATACCTAAGATATATCGTTTACTTTTTGATTTACCCTCGTATACTCTGTCAAATAAACATTTACAATTTTGATTTTAGCGGAGCAACATTTGAAAAGGAATGAAATCATTCAGAGTGGGTTAGGAGATTTAATGAATAAAAAAACTTTTTCTATTTGCCCTTTTTGTCAAAATTACAATTTTACAGAGTAAAGAAAAAAATCAACATTAATAAATATTTTATACCATCTTTAAAATGACGTTTGGTGGTCCTTCCAACTCAGGGAAAAATTATTGGGTCCGTATTTATAGGTGAGAAAAAAATTCCTAAAATTTTAAACATATTCGTTGACGGAAGAAAAAAATAACATGTAATGGGATGTAAAAAAAAAAATGAGTCGGGCCATTTCTAGGACTTGAATAGATCGGGAGAGAGGGCAACCAAATATTTTATAACAAATTGTCTTATAAGGCTAGTACATGTTCCATCACATACTTAGTAATGCAAAATTTTTGAATCTTTGGCACTATTTTGAAAAACAAACAAAGGATTTTTTTTTGGGGGGGGGGGTTAGCCTCTCATTTTTTTGCGTGATAGACATAGCTTATGCAATGGACTTTTCTTTGCAAACATTGTGCTTGCTTCTAAATTTCAAACAAACAACTCAATATATTTTATCAAGCTTCGTATGTTCTATGAGCGAGAGCTAACAATGTTGTCAACATAATGAGACATGATGCGTTTTTATGTCCAAACATTACTCCATACAATGTGTGGTTCGTTGCAAACAATCTAGCTATTTATGTGAGGTGCCTGAAGGAAATCCTATAACTGCCTACTTTTTCTTTCTAACTGCTAAACAAAATAGACACATGTACCAACTTTTCGAATGTAAGACGTGTAATTACAATTTGTTTTTCATGCACCGCATATTGTTTAACATTTTCAAATTAAATGCTAAGCATCCTTTGCAGTGCCCCATTTGAAAATAACTTCTATCGCCACAGGAAAAAGACCCACCGTAATCACATATGTTTAGGACATGTTTTATCTTTTTTCTTGAGTTTTAAAGAAACCAACAAATCATCAAGACTTGTTCCATGAAAAATTAAATACAATCATGGTAATAAACGCATCTATCCACAGCAGATATATGCACATGCCAACCACGTGCTCAGTGGAATGATATTATCGAGGAAACTCGAGCTGTAAACAGAACAGTTTTTCCCAATTTGCTGGAGTGGGGTTAAAATCGCTTTTTTTTCATTAATCAGATGATGCAATGCAACAAATAAAAGTAGTAAGTAATATAACCTAATGATTATTACTTAGTTATTTCTTGTCTTGATGTTATTATGATCGCATTTATTTTAAAATCAATGCTATTCACTCTGTGTGACAGAGGAATGGCGGACGAAATAAACACATGGCCTCAGGAAGACACCCATATGAAAAATCAAATTTTCAAGAATTATGGATAATGACAAGAAAAAAGCGAAACAAATGGTTGTAGCCATATTATCAATGAATCAAACTAACACTATATTCAATGCATTTTTCAATCGTGAATGCTGTAGCTGCGCAGTTCTAACATGATTAATTTCCTCCTAATTAAAACAAAATAAACTTAATTATTAACTGATTTTGGTCTCTAACAGTAGGTAATTGTGCATTAGCACTTTGAGTAACTTTGGGCTAGTTTAGTAGAGTATTAAGCGCATTCTTGGTATTTCTTATTTCACACCAGACTAGATCCAATATGGCTTGTACATCCCCCTTAACTCTGTTAGGACAGTCTGACTAAAACTAGCCCCCTTCTCTATTCACTCTTCAGGAGAGCTATTTATTAACTGATTAATTAATTCTTGGTATTATGTAAAAAGGCATCAGGTACATTTGAACTCCGATATATCTAATCTAGGGATTAGTCCGAAAAATCTGCTCAATGATCCTGTGTGCCGAGTATAGGACAAAAGTTGTAGCTCTCCACCGGCAAGCGGTGGCGTCTCCATATGAGTGAAAAATTCTCCAGAGGGACGGTAAACAACAATCAATCAATCAATCTTTGCATTGAAATTAGAAGGAATTAATAACTATTTAAGTTTCTCTATTCGATATATGCTTTTTTTTAATTTAAAAGATATATTTTGAGATGGCAGATGTAAATTGAGAAACGTGCACTGTAGAATCGTAATTATCTGCATGATTGTCCATTCCATGCAGTTTTTGTTTTTCAAAAAAAGTCCAAGTCAAAGGGTCAAATTAAAGGTACCCGTGGTAAGGCATTGTCATAAGAAATACAAATGTGAAATTTTAAAGCCCATGCACCAAAAGTTAAGGCCAAAGTTAGTTGTTTTTTTTTTTTCAAGAGTAGATCAGACTCAAAGGTTAAGGTTAAAATTGTTGTACAGGTACCCAAAGGAATGCCTTGTCTCTAGCTGCAGAACTGTAGCTCTCCGAAAAAAATATATTGACAGACCGGGGAGCTACAGTGCCACCCATTGAAAAAACTGTATATTTATTGCGCGCAAAAAACTGCGCACGGTTCTGGATTATTTCATCCAAATTCTTACCTAAATTACACAAAAAGCTAGATTTAAACAAAATCCTTACTCCTCTATCAAGTACTCTCGTAGTTTACATATGTACAAACTGCGTTGGACCGAATTATTTTGCAAACGAAAATGGCAGTATAAATAGGCGGAATTTTCAATGATCTCAATTTGAGGGCCAAGAGGGCTAAAAAAAAATTATAAGGAATGTTTTGTTGTGGAAACAGTGAAAGAATATGTTAGGAACACATGGTTGGTAAAAATTTGAGATGACATTTTTAAAAACACGGAGAAATAAACCGAGAAACAGCGCACTTTTTTGTGCGCAGTAAATGTACAGTTTTTTTCAATGGGTGGAACTGTAGCTCTCCTGTCTGTCAATATTTTTTTTTCGGAGAGCTACAGTTCTGCAGCTATCAAGGAATACACATGTACCATAGGCGGATCCAGGGTTATTATTTAATTAATCTGCCTATTTTATCCATCTCCAAACCCTTTATAGTCGTTTCTATACAAAGTGATAAACTCGCTTGATTAAAATTATTTATTAGATTGCGAAAAATTTAACTTCAGGCGAGTTTATAGATTGTAGAGACAACTTAAATGGTTGGGAGGTGGATAAAATATACAAATTGGCTACAGAATGTGTCTAGAATTAGGGAGTGAAAGGTAGTTAATTGACCGATGCTGGAAAGTGGAAAAATTCTCCCCAAAAGAGCGCAAAAAATATTGCGTCGTAAATTGCACCTTTTTTGCATTGCGCGATCTGTACTACAGCGTTATGGTCTAAGACTAGAATATAAAACCATAACGCTATACAGATCTGCAGCTACTCAAGGTGATACATTTTTTTTCAAACGCGGTTAAAAAGGACTTATTCGTATATTATATGTACTAGGTCTTTACGACCCCCGCTCCACGGGACACTTACTAACAGATGTTTGTCTGCCAAACCCACGTGCAGCATT